TTTGTTCAAATACCACTTGCATAAATAATGTTATCACAGAGCATCGCCTTCGGTGGTTAAGGCACGTTCTCCATCGTCCACCACAGGAATTGACGCATATTTCTTTACTTGCTAAACCTTGCTATAATGGATGGCATCAAAAGCGAGGTGGGCCAATCAACATCTGGACTGATATGGTTAGGAAAGATTTTGAACATATAGATGGACCAGCAATACATGCGCTTAGACGATGCAGTAATAGCTCCTATTACTTCTTTCAGATCAATAGATCAACAGATCACGCAGCTTGGAAGCGTCTTATACTTGCAGCCAGCCTAACCAATAATGAGAGTTGTTAGACAAAGGAACTCCTGCCTAATGCTTCTTGCTGATATTGGCCGTTCTCCAGAAGAAGAAATATAAGATTAAATGCATACCATACAAGCATAACATTGTTGATGTATTTCTTGGAAACAGATTGGGCAGTATGTCGCGAAACAACTTTTTTTATTACACTGGATGAGCGAATTCTTTTTATATGGTATTTCGCAGAGAAGGCATTTTCCAGTTTTGAATAATCTATCAAGTAACTTCTCTTGAATGGCTGTTTCAACTAGAAATCCCCTGAAATTAAAACATAGTAGTAATTATTGATTATTATAGTAATATTTCTATATTACTATATAAATTAACAGTTATTGGCAATAGTTTTAATGCTCAAAGCTTGATGAAAAAAGAGTGGAAAGGAGCGATAATACTGCATGTGAAAAAAAAAGTATATGAGTTGATCAAGAAAACCTCTTTATCACTTATTTAATAAAAAAAATCAAATATTATTGAATGAAAAATCAAAACAGTTATGCCTTCTTTGCTTAAAACTGTTTTGAAGCAAATGATGGCGATGAACTTGAAATCGAATTCTCGCTCTTGCAATTCGTCGACCATTTATTCGTACCAACAACAAGCGATTGTATAAATCGATGGTTCTTGCTTTACTACGCTTGCGGAACACATTTCCAATGATATAAAACAATGTCGCTCGTCGAATGATAAAGCCGAATATTACCTTAAACGAAAATTCCCTTAATATCTGCAACATTTTGCTGAAACTTCCTTCAGCTGCATCTGATTCCATATGAATATACAATACAATATAACAGCAAATGAAATCCTTTTTCACACTTTTCCTTTTTTGCACCATTTTAAACCATACTCCCATTATATTCCTTTAATATTTCGCCAAAACTCATATTAAAGTAATAGTTAAATTGTAAATTGTAAAAGGAAACAACAAAGCAGATAGTGAATAGCACAGAATTAAAAATTAGTGGAGAGGAGAATGGGTGCTGTGAAAAGATAATAAGGATTTGGCGAGTTAGAACGGATTCGGAAAGGCTGTAAGCGCGAATACAGCGAGTTTGAATGGATTAAATTTGAAGATATATCCGTAAAACATCTTTATCGTTCCAGTAGATCAGTTACTAAAATATAAAATCTTTGGATTATTCGCAAAAATATTGTTAAGTATATACAAATATAACGAACCTGAAGGAGAAACATCATAACCAGTGGCAGTGATATATAGTGCAGAGAATGTTGCCAATCCGGCTCTAGTGGTAGTTGTATACATTTTTCAGTGGAAATAGATATGTTTATTTTTTTCTTGTATTCAAAATTCAGTAAATCTTGGATGAGCTCAGCAATGAATCCCGTTCCATTGACCTGAGAGAAGAGATAATAAAATTGTAAAATATTTGGTAATAATTTGATTAAAAAATTTTGTTCTTCATAAATTTTTTACACGAAAAAAATGGTTAGGAACATTATTGCATTGTGGCCCGTTTTTTCCATAGAATAAAGTAATTTTTTAATTTTATTAGGGAATGAAATCATATTTTAAAATATGATATTATATAATATATGATATTATAAAATATATTTGAAATTCAGTTGATCTATAGCAACTAATTCCATTAGTCTGAAAAGGCAAAATAGTCAAAAAAACTAATAAGATTGTTAAACTGTTAAATGAAATATTGTTTGGAATAGAAATACGTGAGAGTAAAAATATTTTTCTGCCAAGATGACTGCACTCTATTATGAAGCTGTTTGAGAAGCCTCTAAAAAATCTTTTTCTATCAATTACCTTAAAATTGAATTCCTGCTGTAGATCGTCTTTGATATCACCAACATCAAATAGAGTGACCTGTAATGCTTTAAATAATTTCAAGAAAAAAAAATATGAGGACTATAAGTTCAAACTATCAAGGAAACTACCAATCTTTGCAAATTTCCTTATGTTTTTCTTCATTCAGTTTCCTGAATACTACTCACAATATTTCACTAGAAATACGAACAATAGTGCATCGATGGCTCAGTAACAAGGCAATTGCCATCGAGCTGGCCAACATTTCGTCACATTTCGTCGAGTGGCAGTGCTGCCCAATGCAGAAAACGAAGGAAAATGGCGCAATAGCAATAGCTTGTTGCACATTTGCAATTTGGATGCCGAGGTTCTACTTTCAGTAATAGTAAAACCTGCCCAAAAATGCGAGTGATGCTGGAAACTCACCTGTACTTGTATCGTCAAGAAACTTCCTGGTATATCTGCTAGTGACAAGATCACAAATCAACGGATCGAGCCTAACCAGCTCTTTTCAGAAAAATAAAAAATAATATGCGAACCGGTCCTTTTTGAAATTCTAGACTAACATTCTTGATCAAATGATAAAGCGTGTATTCAACGACAATAGCAGCTATAGAAGTCACTAAAATAATTGCGAATCTTGCAAGTGGCAACCAGCATTCATGAATTTCGTCTCTCGTTGGCGGTCTAAATTTTTCTCAAAAACTCTTCCATCGAATATGTTCTATTTTACCAAAAATTAAATTCATGAATTACTTCATGAAATCTAAAATGGGTTAAGAATTTTAAGGAAATATATAAAGCACAAAGCCTTATTTAAATAGATAAATGCCATATTCCTGTGAACTATTTAAGCTTAAAGCAACTGAATAAATAATAAATTTCATTTAAATTCACTTAAGAGAATTTGGAAGAATAATTTACGAGAAAGGTTTTAATAGTCCATTGGTTTGTTTTTCGGCTTTGCTTAGTGGATTTAAGAAGATTTCATTTTTAGCTCTCCTCTTTTCATCGATATGCCAGAAATAATTTGTTAGAAAAATATTTTTGAAATTGATATCATTTAAATATTTTTGGATCGTGTTAACAGAGTCTCGAAATAGAGTATAAATCATAAATACAAATAGACAACCGAGTAATTGCTTTAGTGTTCGAAATATCTCCTAAAAATTAGGAACGATTGTAAATATTGAACAAATGAAAATAGAAAAATTTGAAGGGGTTTGTAGTTAGTGAACAACGGTCGGTTCTCTAATTACTCTACTAAGGTATAGAAAATAATTATTATTATATGCTATTGATTGATAATCGATTACTGGTCCGCATCTCATTGTCTTTAAATCATGCGTTTGCAATTGCGGACCGCCAACAGAAGAAAAAATAGTTTCCGTTATCCGTAAGCTTAAGGCCAATAATACTCGAGGAGAATGTGGTCTCTGGGCTGAACTCTTCAAAGGTTGTCCATCGTCTTTCACAATACACCTTCAATAAATGTACTCTCTAGTATGGAAAAAAGAAATATTACCAGATAATTGCAATTCTATTCCCAATTCTCAAGAAAGATGATAGGACATACTGCGACAATTCGAAGAACCAGCCTAGTAGCGAAAATTTTTGCTTCCCATTTACTCATTTGACTTATGGAATTACGGCATAGCAGGATGCGTCCTAATCAAGCTGGATTCAGAACGGGGTGCGGTTATGCTAATATTCACGCCAGATATTCACGTTAAGAAGGATATTGGACCATTGCTTCAGATATTTGCAACCCACTGTCATCGACTTTATTGCATCGACTTAGCGACTGCGTTTGATTCAATTGATAGAGCGGCGCTTTAGAGGGTGATCGAACGCGACGGTTTCAAGAGATCATTCGACTCATAAAGGCATTTTATCACACCTTGGCACAGGTCTAGGAACTGATAGAATCCTTTGAAATAAGAACTGGTGTCCGTCAAGGCTGCATCCTTTTAATATTCAACTGCGATAGACTGATCGTCGCTAGTACTCAAGAAGTATACAAGTCCTAAGCATTGTATTTCAGATTATAGCTTCTTGCAGTTCTGATTGGAACAAGACTTTTAACCTTTGTCGTAGATAGCCTACAACCTACAACTTAATTGAAATGCTGCTCAATACCTCTGGACTGACAATAAAGCTATTCTGAATGGATAAATAATTTACAAAAGGAACAAGAACGATTTGTTCAAAACCGATTATTAGAAATTCGTAAAGTCCAACATTTTAATTATATCCCTTCGATGAAAACGCAGCTGATATAACCACTAGAAGAATCACCATATCCTCATTTATTAATCACCAATTATGGTGGAACAGCCCTCACTGGCCAAAACAAAACAGTGAATGTTGGCCAACTTACCCTTCGTCACCAAAAACATATGAAACCGCTTATGACCAGTATAATACTTCAACTGTAATTATAATACTTCAATTGTAATTATAATATTTCAACTGTAATTTTTCAAAGAAACATATAATTCCAACTTTTTTGAAATGTAAGCTTGGGAGCCTTATCAATACTCAAAGATTTAATCAATGAACGAAAATTCTCATCACAACAGTTCAAGTTGTGAAATTCTTAAAATTCATCACCTCAAAAAACAGGAAGCTATTATGGTTGAGCAACAATCACTTTCTGACGTTTAATTAGCTAAAATTCTCCCGACAAGCGCAATCACAAATATCCTTATCCATGGACGATATTTTAAAATGGAAGTTAAAACAAGAATTTTCCATCTTCCGATGCTTTGGAAGAATTCTAAATACGGCAATTTTTCTACCAAGAACAGGTTAACGGAATTGCTTATATCATATTGCATATATCATGTCAGTAACGCTAACAGAAGTACTCTTCATACATTGGCTCAACTCAGATTGCTTTTCTGGATTCCTAAAGATCGAGTCAAAAGAACCATCAATAAATATTGCATGGTATGCAAAAAAATGGAATGCCAAACCATTCAGACGGCCAGAAATGCCAAACCTTCCGAACTACAGAATCCAACCTTCTCATCCTTTCCAATCAGTTGGTGTCGATCTTTTTGGGCCTATAAACATTAAATCACAAAATTTCACAGAGAAGAAATGGATCATCTTATTCACTTACCTTTAAACAAGAGCCATCTATTTAGATGTAGCCTTTAATCTGTCCGCTGATGCCATCCTGCATACCCTTCGCAGATTCATCGCAAGATGAGACCAACCCAAATCAATCTTAAGCGATAATGCAACCAATTTTAAATCAACAACCAAATTAATTAAATATCAAACAAAATGGATTGATTCCAACATCAACTGGACGTTCATCACATCCAGAGCACCATGGCGAGGTGGAATTTATGAAAGATTAATTTCCATTGTCAAAAGCGCCATGAGGTGTTCAATCAGAAAGAAGTTGTTATCTGAAGAGTAATTATAAATCTTAATAGTAGAAATCGAAAATATAGTTAATTTACGTCCATTAACTTTTTTAGATGAAGACCATACTCACATCTTACGACTCATTGATTTGATTCGCCCTGGCCCTCGAATATCTTCGGTCCAGTTATTTCTAAATATTAATTTTATCAACTCGCTTAATGATTCTTAACATAATGATCTAGATCCGCAATCATATCAACCTGGTCTCATCAAGCTCAAATCCTTCATAAAATTTTAGGATATCTGGAAATCTGATTAACAATGACTCTTTGAGAGAAAGATCAAATCGGTCCTATCAACAACGCAAATCGACAACAAATCGCATCCCCAAAGTTAATGGAATATCCTTCTTAATGACGACAACTTAGTTAGAGGTAAATGGCCTTTGGCAAAAATCCTCGATTCTAGTAATAAAATTGAGCAAAATTTTATTTATCCTTGTTACATTCCCCTTGCTAACTTTATCAACATTTTGGTGTCGCGAAATGCGATCTTTCTATCATTTTTAATTTATCATTTTTCATTTAAAAATAGTGATTAGATTAATTCCTTATCTTCACATAAAGAATAGAGGTCAATTCTTAAGTATATAAAAGGATACCCTTCTCAAGAAAGCTGTTCTTTTGGTACCATCAAAGAACCCAAGCTGTTGGGCCTCAATTTTAATTATTCTTTCTTATTTTTCCCTTATATTAACCTTTTAATCGTTATTTATATTTAAACATTTAATCATTTTAATCATTTAATCACTTTTTAATCATTTATTTGTCTTGGAATATTTGTCTGGATTTAATTTGTGTGAATATTGTTTTTGGTATCACTATATATTAATCGGTTCAATTACCCAAGTTTGAGGTGGCGGAATAAAGATTCTTATCAATTCTTGTGGTGAATAATTTTTATTCTACTGTCCTGAGAAACCAGTCGGATCAAAAGTTATTCTGATATATAATTAATGCGTAGCAGGGAAGTATCCCACTTGCTTCCAATCAATTAATATTTTAATATTTTAATATTAATATTTTATTAATATTTTATTTTAATATATCAATTAATATTAATTTTTTATATTAGCAGATGACTACAGCAAAGCAATTCTGTTTCTCAAGAAAGGTGATAAGACATACTGCGACAATTATCGAGGAATCAACCAACTAGACGTCTCAATGAAAATTTGCTTTCTTTTCATTCACTTATGATAGTATGGGGCAGCAGGATGAGGACTAATCAAGGTGGATTCAGGCCATCTTACTTATATTTATTTCATCGATTTTCCTGTTGCCCTTGATTGACCGGCGCTTTGGAAGATGATGGAACGTGACGGTGTTCTAGAGAAAATCATTCGACTCATAAAGGCATTTTATGAGCTCACGTCGGCGCAGGTCAGTGCATATGGTGAGCTGATAGATTTCTTCGAAATAAGAATTGGTGTTCGTCAAGATTGTGTCCTTTCCACTATAATATTCAACTATGCGATAGGCTGGATAATGGATACCGCTTGCAGGCACTCAAAAGATGTGCAAATTAGACCAGAGTATTATATTATTGATCTTGGATACGCTGATACGATGTAGTCCTTTTTATGACGAAATGCGAATAATGCTAAATAACATGTCAGCAACGCTAATCGAACTCAGGGTCAATGTAAGTAACAAAAGTATTTTCTTCTTATGTACAAGAAGCTGATAAAGCTAAAGAAGTAAACTCATTGCTCGATTTTAAATATTTTGGATCCACTCTAATACCCAGTGCCAAACAAAAGACGCTATTATAACAGGGATAACGACAGCTAGAAATGTGTTCTTTCAGTTGACGAAACCTTTGTGGAGCTGTCGCGAAAATACCATAAAAACGAAAGTCCATGTCTATACATCTACGATTTGTTCGATCTTGCTGTATGGCTATGAGATATGGCCAATAAGAGTAGAGGATATTAAGATATTATCAGTCTTTGACCACTCTTGTCTAAGGTATATTTTACGGGCCCGTTGAGCAGACAAAATATCACATGGTCACCTTCGTTCAAATACCACCTGTATTAATAATATTATCACAGAGCATCGTCTTAGCTGGTTATGGCATATTCTTCGTCGCCCACCACAGGAGTTGACACACTTTTCATTACTTTCTGAATCCTGTAAAGACGGCGTCAAAAGTGAGGTGGGCCAGTCAAGATCTGGATTGCACGGTAAGGAAAGATTTTGAACTTAAAGAGGGTATATGGAATTAGATGGAAAAAAGAGTGGCTTCTATTACTGTCGACAATGGTATCGCGCAGCTTGGAAATGCCTTATCCTTGTAATCAGCCCAGCCAGTAATCGTGTTAGAAGAAAAAGAATATGAAAATATGGAAAATTAAATTTGACTTTAGAAAAAAAATCAAAATCAAGAAAAAAAATTATACATCCAATTATACAAAAAATTTGGCGAAGTAAAAACCAACCCTCATAAACTGGAAATTTTGCGTAATACGGTACATCAGTTCCTTAACTCTAAGCACTCGCATATTTCTTGGTTCAATAATTGCTTTATAATGCATCTGCGAAATTTATTTAGCTGTGCAAAAATTGATTTCAAAAATATAATATGCAAAAGACTGGAAATGAATTAATACAACTTTTTTGTAATTAGCATTTTGATAATCCGTAATTATTTCATAAAATTAGTAGTCGAAATGAATATCTGAGTCATAGGCCACACTCATTTATGTATAATAAATAATATAAAATAATATAATTATGTATAATAAATAATAATATAAAATAATAAAATAATATAATAAAATAATATAAATAATATAATAATAATATATATATATATATATATATATAATTCAAATCCGCTGTCAGTAATGCTCAATAAGAATGCGGTGCAAGAACCATTATACAAGAGTTGACGGAAGAATTAACAGGTCAAATTGGGGAACATCGCCATATAACTAATGAAAAAAGAGAATTGAGAAAGTAATTTTGGATGATTGATCAAAAGTGCTAACATTGATTCTTAAATGGTCAAGTATTTCATCACTTATATTTTTAATATTTTCTGTATTAGCGTCGATATTTTTTATCTTATTGAGCATATTTTGCATCATTTGATCGCAAAATTTTAGCGCTTTCTCGTGCTGGAAACATAGTATAAATTTTTTATTATAATAGCAATCCTCGACTCTGATATAGATGGCTTCATTAGCCTCTTAAGTGAAACCCTTTTGCTAGTGAATCATTTGGAGATAGAGTCGCAGCTCCAATAATATCCTCAGATTTCATTTTTGATGATAGGTATTCTCTAGATAAGAGGAAGAAAAAAAAATGAAAAATAAGAGGAAGAAAAAAAATGAAAAATCTTGTTTTGGCTTAATCAAAACGTAAAATTTTGAAAAAATAAGTTGACTTCAAGTTAGTTGGGCATGAAAAATACATCAATCCATCTGATCATAGCTTTAGATTTTTCGAAATGAAAAGAGAAACCTTATCAGATGCCTGGCAAATAGATAACGTATCAAATTTTCCGCAAATGTATGAATTTATGAAAGGCAGAAACCAAAGGTAATTTGAACATTTATCCTGTAATAAAAAAAATCATAAGGGAAATAACAATCTCTCTTATTCATTTTTAGCAATTTTTATACAGGATTTGAAAAGAACTAATAATGGCCATTTTCAGGTGAAATTTTTATTTCTTTGTCTTCTTATTTCTTTGACAAAATGTCAGTTTAATTTATAAAAGGTTAAAATGCAGAAGTGCCTTCATATCCTGAAAGCGTTCATGACATTTGGTTATTCCTTGGTCGAAAACTGATGCACATTGAAAGTATAATCGCATGGTAAGAAGTCGCGAAGCCTGGATAAATAATAATAAAAATTTGAAGATAGTTAAATAAATGAGCCTGATGTCGAAGAAAAAAAACATATTTTGATACAAATTTTATACCTTCGATTTCAGTCTTTTCCATATTGGTCGAACAAATTCGTCGTCATTTTTATTCTTGTCTCTATTTTTATTTAAAAGCTCATCTCGCATATTCATTGCCTAATTTAATAAAGTTTTAATATAATATTTTTTTGGAATCTGTTCTATATTTTAATTCAAATCTTTTTTTTCAGTTTTCTATAGATAATTTCAATCAGAAAAGGTGGAAAATTTTGTTAAAATTTACTTTTATTAAAATTTTATTATTATTTTATAATAAAAATTGCCTCAGCTCCATCGATAGTGGCTGCAAGTGCTTTATCCTCTTCGCTTACTGTAAAATCATAAGATATCGGTTCTACGAGTGCTTTCAACATTGCAATCACTTTTCTTCCTTTTAATGAGGACTTTCCTGATAGAAAAATAGCTGGCTTAATTTCGTGTATTTTAATAGAGATGGTTAATGAGCAACGACTTAGTCAAATCATATCTCCTAAAGATATCTATGAAGCAAACGATGAATCTGTCCAAGTCCTCATCATTAGCAATATTAGTTTTAAGATAATTTGAAAAGCACCATTAAACCAACGACTTTAATTTCAATGGACTTGTATGTCGTCCTATTAACTAAAGAATTTACAATAATTAAGTAGGATAACTTGAAATAACAAAAAGATTTTGAATTGGAATGATGTTTGATGGATCATAATTTTGAAACAATTTTGGCATTTATATCCATGGCATTAAGTGACATACAAAATAACAGTTACTTGCAGAATAACAGTTCGAGTTTTATTTACTATACGGAAAAGAGGAAAGTAGACCACTAACCAAATTTTTCGCTTAAAAAAGCTTCAGCTGGTCCAGTTGACATAATAACTCTTTGCTTTGTCATTTCTTCTTTAATAGCGAGGTGACAAGCAATTACATTAGCACTGAGATTCAGATTAGAAATAATACGATCTATCGGGCCCTCATTAAGATGGTTAAAAATAATGACAGATAAAAGTCCCTGACCATTTCTTCCTAAAGCACTGAAAAGTACACATATCACCGCACAGCGAAATACCTAAAAGCAGTGGATTTTATGTGGAAAATTTTCGAAATTTTGGTCAAATTATGTTATTACAATTGAAAAAATTGTTTTCCATATGAGCTTAACTGAAGAATCAAAGTTATTTTCACAAAGCAATTTGAGTAGTCCGTCGTATTCCAAAATGACTTCGAAAGTTATTTGGACGATAAGAACATTAAGTATTGAGTTGTGTGGAAATAAAAATTTACTGGATTTGTTGCAAATACGACAGCGCTTGTCAAGATCAAGCTCCAGAAGAAAACTTGGCCGAAAATTTCATCGAAATCCGCGAAGTTAACGCGATACCATGCTAGAAGAAAGATTGATCTTTGTTACATGATTGACTTTACTTTATTGACTTTTATAAATTTTGCACTCTACATCCAAAGAATTTAATTATAAAACTATTTCGGGACACGGGTAATGTTGACTAAGCTCTATTATTTTGTGTCAATATATAAAAGGGAACGCGTGGTTGAAATAGTTTACAATTTATATATATATGCCCTTTTTTTGTATACCCTTGGATAGAAAATTAGACATTGTCTGCAACATTATCTTTTTTTTCTAGAGCCACCAAACCAAGTGCCAAGAACAGAGAAGAGAAAATTTAATATGATCTCAGTGACGCAAAACTTCTCATTAGCGGCACTTAATAATGCTTTACAAGACCAAGCAGAATATTAAACTATCTCTAAGTCACCATGATTAATTTAGGATTGATTAATAAATTGAGGGAAAATAAAATGAAAAAGAATTTAAACCAACCAAATTTATATAGCATATAAGCAATAGCAAAACCAATTGGAAAATTAAGCAAGATTCGTATGAACCGATAGTCGTATGCACTACTATAAAAAAGAATATCAGAAATTTTGGATCGTCTAAGCAACTTCCGCCTTTCTTCACGATGTTGTTCACCTAAAATTCCTTGAAACAGACCGTGCAACATTCTAAAAATTTTCGAAATGGCAGAAAAACGATTTAAAAACAAATTTCGAAGTAATAATCAATTGACTAATTAAAGCAGAACACTGGTTACAACGAAAATATATCAAAGATAATATTCGCTAATATTTTTCATTTTCTAACTTCACCCACCATATCTCACCTATCTTTCGCTGAATTCCCTACTTGAGGATAAAATATAGATGGGTTTCACCTCCATGCGGACTCTTCAGTAATAAACAGAGACTGAACTCATAATGCTTAAACTCACGGCCGAAGCTGAACGAAGGACAAAATCGAAAATGAATCATTAAATAAATCGGCAAAATGAAGCTCATTGATTCATTTGGCACTCATTGGTAGCTCTTCTTCCAAATGACTCCCTTCTGGAAGTACTTCAAGCCAAATTCATTTTGGTAAATGTTTTCAATATTAAAAGAGTGAGTCGGCGTGTGGGCAGAACTACATGGATTTAATGGCTTTTACAATTGGTTATTAAAATATCATTTCGCTAAAGTGGTTATATTCTTTATTCTTATTTTGCAATCTTATTAAAATGGGATTAAAATAAAATGGTCAAGTGGTATGCTTCGAATAAGGTCAAGCATCATAGTTCAACATTTGTACAAGCTTTTTTGCATTCTTATTATTCTTTCTTGCAAAAGAATCCTTTTCTATATAAATTAGTATAAATTATTATGGAATCTATATATAGCTCTCGTTATCAATACGAACAAGAATGCTAATACTTTATTTCTGGTGATTTTTCTCATAACATTTCTAAGACATTTGGGAAATTTTGTGAAACCGCAATTATAATTATTTTTATCATTGTTTATATATATATATGTTATATTCTTTGAAATGTACTTTTTCCATAAATTTTCTTCAAAATTTACCGGAGATATGATGAAACAGAGATATAGAGCTTTATTTGGTGAAATAAATAGTTATTTCTTAAAAATTGACAAAAAAATTGAAATTGATTTACAAAAATGTTCCATATAAAATGATAATCCATGTACTGTCACATTCTTTCTTCTTCTTCTAGTAGTGCACAATCGCTCGCTTGCGGAGAATAAGACGCTTCCAAGATGCGCGATCTGTTGATCGTCGACAGTAATAGGAGCCATTACTTATTTCATCGTCTAAGCGCATGTATTGCTGGTCCATCTATATGTTCAAAATCTTTCCTAACCATATCAGTCCAGATGTTGATTGGCCCACCTCGCTTTTGATGCCATCCATTATAGCAAGGTTTAGCAAGTAAAGAAATATGCGTCAATTCCTGTGGTGGACGATGGAGAACGTGCCTTAACCACCGAAGGCGATGCTCTGTGATAACATTATTTATGCAAGTGGTATTTGAACAAAGATGGATGCGATATTGTGAGATTTTATCCACTCGATGGACGTAAAATGTACCTTAGACAAGATGGTCAAAGGTATATAGCTTCTTAATACCCTCCACTCTCATTGGCCATGTCTCAGAGCCTATGGCTAGCAAGATCGAACGAATCACGTCTATATAGATGCGGACTTTCGTTTTTATAGTGATTTCACGACGGCTCCATGAAGATTTCCTCAACCGGAAGACATTTCTGCCGTGATCCAGGTTGTAATATTGTCTTTTGCCTAGCCATTTGGTATTAGACCCAAGGTACCCAAGGTATTTGAAATCAGGCGCTTCCTTAACTGGCAATAAATTTATCAAAAGACAGGAGTTCACTATCTTAAGAAACTTTCCAAGATTAAGCATAGATCATTGGACTTTTAAATCCGTTTCTTTGAAATAACCGTGAATTATAATTTCCCTATATAACAATTGTTTTATATGACTATTTGCTGCCAAAATATTATTTATTATCTTCAAAATTAATTTTTTATTACGGCGAAAATTTATTAAATTTATGCAGGAATTTTCCTATAGTTTCTTTGTTTTCAATATAATTTGTTTTCTGGAAGTGAAGAAATATTTCCCTGGTTGTTGGACCAAAAGATAATAATCATATCATTATAAACATATTTTATGCATTTACCAACTTATAAATAGATAAATATAAGCCAATTTTAGGTGGAGGAAGGTGCGATTACTTCACAAAGAACTCAATTAAAATTGATATCAACTGAAATTCCCCAACCAGATAATTTTTACCCATTTTAATGATGTCGGTATAAATACCATTGTTTTTCAATTTTCTGAAGTAACAATAAAGTGAATTAATAAAAAGGTGAATTAATAACCTCAAAAAGAATAGTAAAGTCTCACACGTATAGTTAAAGTTAAAGTTCTAGATAACTAACGAAACTGAATCTGCTGTTTATTTGTTAAAGGATACCAAGATGGACAAAAATATGGATTTCTAGCACTTGCCGAATTTCAATGATAGTTTCACTCATGTCAAAAGGCCAGGAACCTAATTTATAATATCGTCGTTGAGACCACTCAGCCACCTCATCCATGTTGCAGAAAAAACAATGAAAAGTTTTTTTTTCAAAAATTTTTAGGCAATTTAATATGATATTTGCTTAAACTTGAAAACATCTTGTATGCCGCTTAAAATGATTGAAGATAAATTTAATAAATGCAATAATTTTAATATGCGAAGTATATTTGCCAAAAGCATTGAAAAATTAGAGAAAAAATTAAAAATTTAGGAGTAAGAATGAAGAAAAAAAGGTTAAAATTGAGGGTGAAAATTGAAAATTAGTGACAAACAGATAAATTTCAAATATTTACACCGCATTAGGTTTGTTAGTGATCAGCGATGTTATTTTTCTTAGATAAATTTTCAGTGAGCCATTGTAACTCCAAAGTAGTGAATATTATTTTATTTTCAGCTACTTTCATAAGTGTAGGAATTGTGGAGATTAGTTTTTTTTTTCTTGATTTTGAGAATTTGAACTTAAGGTAATGCCTGGTAGCTATCTGCAAAAATGGCTCCATCTTTACCAGCTAAAACAGAATTAACGAGTAAGTTATCAGAAGAAGAATAAATTCACGTTCAAAACAAATCGACGTTTTTAAATCCCTTAAAATTTTATAGAATCCATTAGATTTCCTTAATATAATACTTTAGAAACTATTTGTTTGCCAAAAATAAGTTTTTCATAGTTTGTTGCATCGAATTTTTTTATTACTTCGAATTCCATCTTGAAATATGCACGTATGAATTATTTGGTAAAAAATACTAATTATGGACTTGTGGACTTCGATGGAGGCAATTATCAATGCATTTGGAAACCTTTATTTGTATTAAAGATATTTGCAAAATTGTTAGGTTTGAGTTCATATATTTTTGGATTAAATGAAATTATAGAAGGTCGTTTGATTTGCATTTTAAAAATTTGTAATTTTATTTATTTTAATTAGTTTTATTTAATAGATCTTTGAAAATCCAACTATGAACCATAAATTATTCACCATTTAGCTATAGTTTTTTATGCGAAAATTTTAATTAATTGGTGTAGTAGTGGTAAATCAAATTTGAAGAAACATAATCGGATTTTGATAAAAGGAACTGAAAATTTTTTTTCGAAAATTTACCCATTTAACAAACTTTAACTTAATTAAGATTGCGGAAAACGAACATTATTTGATTTATATGGGTTTCAATGCTACTTATTTTTGTCAAACTTCAAATCAAATAAGAAGCTAAGTCGCAATAGAAATCAAGAGAAAACCAAATAATTAAATTGTAAAGTCATGATCCAAATGCTACTCTTTTACATTATCGAGTTATCTTATATCAGATCGAATTAAGTCCCCTTGCAGTGTGGTTCTTGCGCCTTCCTCATCCAGTTTTAAGAGAAATAAAATTATGAAATAATAAAATTATGACGTTGACCTATTTGCTCATTGCTTAATTTTAACCGACTGGTCTTTCATTTGTGTTTATAATATTATTCATTTGCATTCTGCTACGCTTTTAATGTTTTAGAATATTTGTTGTTTTTAAAAGATTTACAAAAGTACGATTAAAAGTACGATTTTCTTTTAGAAAATCGGCGATAACTTATTTCAACTTGAATTTATTCAAATTTATTTATTCGAAAACTCTATCATTTCAGAAGGAAAAATCATTAATAGATTTTATTTATGTCACTTGAACTTTTTATTGCTATAATTAAATTTAAATTAGAATGGAAAATGTCTCTGAAAAAAAAAAAACTTTTTTAAAAAGAAACTATATTTTTTAAAAATATGATTGCTCCGCCAGCCGTACAATAAGAAATTTTTGCAGCTTACTGCTGGAAGTATAGATGAATGTTCAGTTCCGTGATGATGTTGTTAATGGAGATGGAATTTGTCACTAAGATTGCGCAGGTGACAATCTTGGTTTTACCAGTGGCAGAATTCGATATTGCTTTTTTTCGAGCTAAATTCAAATCACTTAGCTAGAATCTAAAGGAGGGAAAGTGCTAACCATTCACCTAGTTGAGTCATTTCATGCCCCTTTCTCCTTTAAGCGACACCAAATAGCTTCGATTAGATTCGATTCGATAAATATTCTTCTGAGATTTTTCAATCATTTAATGAAAGTTTTGAAGAAAATGGCAAGCTAGTTAGAGAAATTTCCCTCTTCTTTTTTTATTTCATTCAGAAGATTTCAAATCTATTTTTTAAAAAAACACTCAAAATTATAAGACGTATAATAATAATAAGAGTATAATAAGAGTAAAAAATAATATAATAAGAGTAAAAAAGATGCAATTTTTTATTTTAAATTTTTTTCTGAACGGTAGTCGAATTATCTATTGCTTTGACCATAGTCAAGCCATTAAAAAAATTCAATTCCTGTGTCCTGTTATTAAATGAACTTCAAGATATGTCAAATCTTCATTGGCAACTTTGCCTTCAGAAAACAACCAAGAGGATTAATTCTAGTTTTATAGCGATAATTCTATTCTATTAAAACAGCAATTATATATTAACATTCAACAGTGGATTTAGATACGAAAAGAAATGATTTAACTGTAACAACTGTTTTTAAAAATTTTTAACTATTCGATTTTCATTTAGATAAATATATCTATGATAAGTCTTCAAGCCCGTGATTTTTTTTTAAAAAGCCCTCACCATTACTGGTTACTGGTTAGACTCGCTCCGCTGGTTCATTGTATAAGGCAAATATACCAAGGAGCTCTACGGCGATAGAAGTAAAGGTGAGCCGCCAGCATCATCCGGATTTTGAACAGATTAAATTACCCAGTAACGATTGTGCTCAAAATCTTTCCTTGTCGTGCCAGCCCAAGTCTTGATTGGTCCACCTCACTTTTGACGCTATTACAGGGTTTTGCATGTAATGAAATATGCGACAATCCTTGTGGTTGACGACGGAGAATGTGTCCTAACCAGCGAAGGCGAAGCTCTGTGATAATTTTATTTATTTATCAAGTGGTATTTGAATGAAGGTGGATGCGATCATGTGATATCTTATCTGCTCGAAGGACCCGTAAAATATACCTTAGACAAGAATGGTCAAAGGGTCAAAGGCAGATAACTTAATATCTTCCATTCTTATTGGCCATGTCTCGCAGCATATGGCAAGATTGAACAAATCGTAGCTATATAGACACGGACTTTCGTTTTTATGGTATTTTCGCGGCGTATCCATAAAGGTCTCGTCAATTGAAGGAACGCTTTTCTAACTGCCGTTATCCGTGTTATAATAGCGCCTTTTGCCTGTCCATTGGGTATTAGAGTGGATCCGAGATATTTAAAGTGAAACATTTCCTCAACCATCAATGAATTGAATAACGAGCAGAAATGATTTAAAAAAAACGTATTTTATCTGCCCCTTTTATATAAAACAAAAAAGATTTGTTTTCATTTGAATTGATCATGAGTCCGATTCTCGTTGTTGCAGTTATTAGACATTTTTTAGCATAATTTGCATTTCGTCATAAAGGACTACTTTATTAGCGACATTCAAGGTCTATGATACTATCTTCTGGAGTGATTTTTACACTTCTTGATTACTAGCGATGATTATCCAGTTTATAGTATAGCTGAATATTATGAGAGAAAGGATGTAGCCTTGACGGATGACATTTTTTATTTCGAAAGAGTTCCTCCATATACATAGACCTATACCTATTTACGCGGGTGCCTTTATAAGTCGAATGATTATAACTGGAACACCGTCACATTTCATTATCTTCCAAAGACCCCGTTCTATCAACTGAATCGTAAGGCAGCTATAAAATCAATGAAACAAGTTACGGTTGTAGATATTGTAGCGATGTTCCAATATCCTTCTTAACGTAAATATCTGGTCAGCACAATCCAGGTCTGAGTCCAGCTTAGTGAGGGTGCATCTTCTCTCGTCCAGCTGAATCCTTGTCTCTTGACACGATAATCTGAGCCATCCTCCATACGATTCTGCTATCTTTTATCTTTGAACTTGCTTTCTAACTTGCTAAAGGATTTCCAGGATTCAATATTTCGCAAACTATTTTATGAATAATTTCGAAGCATTTGTGATTGTCCTACTATAAAAAAGTTGGTTTAATAAACAATTTTACATGACATCTTTAATTAATTTAAAAGATTTAATTTAGATGTTTAAAACGAGCAGCAGTAGTTTTTTTAAGTCATATACCAGGAGCTGGTCCGTTATCACTCCACTCGATGGAATAGCTTTGCCTATAGTGGTACTTTCCGCATAGAAAAAAGCAAAAGAAAATTTCCGAGTTTTATTCGATAAAGGAATATACAAAGCGATAAAAATTAGTTAAGTTCAAGGAACCATAAAAAAAAGTAAAAATGGAATAGCGATGTTGAATATATTTGTCAGATAATGAAATGTCAAATATACATCGAATATATGAAATCTGCTTTTTCCAATAATCTTGAAATTTATTAAAACTATTCTTATAAATCTATCTGATTTATTGGTAATTATTCAGTATTCTTGTAATATAAATTATCTTTTTATTTATAATTTAAAATTCTCCTTGTATTTCGGTTTCTAAAGAAAAAAAACTATCGGATTCTTGAATTTTTCTGACTTAGACAAAACTATGCGCAGTGGATAGAACAATTTGTGCATTGATAAATCAAACCATATGGATGAAGCCAATAATAACCAATAACCAAAAAAATAAATGAATAAGATGACTAAAGCTATTAGCACCACTTCTGGTTATGCTAATTCAGTTATTTTTTAATACGGTTAGAATTTTTTGGTAAGGATGGTGATATAAATAAAGACGGAACGCCAGTACCATCAGGACTTTTCACTGGTAGTTTTACTCTTGTGAAAATCTTCCTCTACAAGATAATTTAAGTTGCTATCCTATGCCAAAATAATATAGTATGTAAATGGGTAAGAATGGAATGAAGACTATCATTTCGAGCATTGATACTTGAATTCTACTCTCGGCAGGCATAAGCTTGCTTGTAAAAAATCGCGGTAGTGCTGCGGATCTACCTATACTTCCTGTCGCCAAATCCTTAAGATTGTTAAGACCAAAAAGCCAGCAGAACGAATATAACCAAAAGTGATTAGTACTCTCAGACGAAAAAATTATTTGGTGGTTTAAACAAAAATATTTGTTTTTTAACAATTGTTTATGCAATTGTTTATTTTGGGGTTTTTATAAAAATTTCTATTTTCTGATTCAAATATTCAAATATTTTATTAAAAACAAAACCAAAGAATCAAAACAGAACATAGAATTAAAACAAACAAAACAAAAATCTAAATTTTAAACTAAATTTTTATAATTTTAATAATAAGAAATAATAATTAAATAATTTTTAATAACTAAAATTTTTAACTAAATTTTAAAAATGAAACTAATAACAAGCAAAAAAATATTTTAAAATGAATGCAAAAGAAGACCAATAAAAACAACAAAAACATCGCTCTCACTTTTTAGTTATTCATTATGAAAGAAAAGGAAAAATTTTTCCTTTTCTTATCTGATCGCCAGCTATTTTTTAACAAAAAGTTTCAAAAATTTCATCACCAAAATTAGAATTTTGAAATGATTTTATAAGTTTTAAAATACGGTGAAATCAATCATGCGATTATAAAGGCTCGTGAAAGACTGCACAAAATGATTTTATGAGAGGCGTTTAAAATTTTCGATATTTGCTAAGAAATTCTGCCTAAAGAAAAAAGATTCAAAAAATTGAGAACTTAAGAAAATTTTTTTTCACACAAAAAACCGTGTCTGTTTTAGTTTATAAGGGACTGAAGCTATAATATTATATGGTTATTGGTTTATAAGGAATAAGGCATTTATAAGGTATCAAGATAATCAAGATTTTTCGATGATCATCTTATTAGTTTTGACAAAATTTTTACATATGTGATGTCATAAAATAGAAACTAGGAATTTCTGCAGGTTTCTTTTTGGTTTTTCTAACTTGAGAATTATAACCGATCAAAATTATCAGAATTACAGAAGGGGAGAAAAAGATCAAATTCCACCGATCAAAAACTTTCGGAAAATTTTTTTAAGATTAAAGTTTACTAACTTGTTGCTGCGAAAAATCGTGGAACATGTTGGAGAAAGGATAACGCACAGAAAATCCATGCGACAAATTTTCCGCATTAGAACCATCAAATTGATTTGGATTTGCATCATATGCATAGCGCCACTAAATTCATTATATTTGAATTATTTCGAAAAATAGGAAATGGTATCAATTTTTCCAAATTTTGTTAAAAACAACATTTTTCCTTAATGAATAAAAGCGATAAAAACCAGTTTGGATTGCAAAGTTTATATCCTATAAAGTTTTCTATAAAAAGGCTCAACTCTTGAATTTGGTTGAAATCTTGGCTTATTGGTGCATAATTATTGAATGTACCAGGAATGATTTTAATGTAGCATTTTGTAGCATTTTCAACTCGATTTTTAACTAGTTTTCATTAAATTCTAAAAAATTCTAAAAACTTTCTCAGACCGAAGATCGGAATATATGTCAGTTTTACTATATATTATTATTATAAAAATAGCAAATTTTAGAAAATTTTAGAAAAGTATAGTATAAAATAAAATAGTATAAAAATATAGTAAATTGGTATATAGTAAGTAAATTAATAAATTTTCCTTCTTTTATTTCATTATGCATAAAATTATCAAGAATGCAATATTTGCAATAATGGCAATTATTCTAAATGAAAGAAGAATAAAATTTACGACTGATGGATGACGATTGTTTGCAACATTCCCATTATCGTTTAAATAGAATTATTTCATTGGAAAGGACTTAATAATATTAATTTTCATTATAATTTTATCAATAAGAATTTTTTAGTCTCTTGTTGAACAAATTCACTAGGAATGAAAAATAATAATAATAAAATAATAATATCTGTTGGAGCACCTCTTCCACAAGTGTTAACTACTGCCACACTAGCAGCAGCTTTTTGTATTCGAATTATTGCATCGAAATCGAGTCGTGTACGAAATGAACCGAAGCGTGTTGTACCAAATGAGAAAGCAATAAATTTTTGGTTTTCGCCAGATTCTAGACGAAACGCTAACGAAGATTTCTATAGAAAAAAAAAGTTCCTTTATTATAGATAGCAAATTGTAGCAAATGAAAAATAAATATGAATATATAATATGTATATATTATATATTCATATTTATATATGATATATTATATATTTATATATATATTTATATTTATATATATATATATATATATATAAGATAAAATATATAAAATAATTTTGATCATTATGAAAATTACAAACCTCATGAAAATTGAAAATGCCTAGTTCCATAATTTCGAGTGGTACCAGTTCGCTCGATGGTATAAGAATTAACTGAATTCTTGGGTCAATTGCATTGTTTTCGGCAATTTGCGAATGAAAATGCTGTTCTGAAATGTGTTATAAGATATGAAAGATTTTCGGTGAAATTTAAAATCTTTATAAGCTTTACAAAGCTGTCTATTTGCATAAAAAACAAGCAATCTAAAAAAAAGGAAAACTGGCTTTAGCCCAACCTCGACAAAATGATTTTTTTTTGCTTTGCATTCGTTTTCTAGCAAACTTCTGTACCATTTTGGTTAAACCACGTTGTGCAAAATTCGTCGCTTCTGGTGAATATTTCGCATCTTCATTTAAATCGCCACACCATATTGGTGTTTTTTGATTGCCCATTTTCGAATAAACACTACCAGGATTACAGCAAAGAACTAGATCAGCTGAAAATCATTATTCAAAGTCAATTAATCAAGGTAAATGGAGCCGGTGTCAGGATATATTTTCTTATCGAAAGCCTTCGTTTATTTTAAGATTTGTTTAAAGGCTGATTTTAGCAACTATCTACGAATTTTTGAAAAAGTTGAAATTAATTTAAAATATTAATAATTTTAAAAATGGAATCATTCCCGTGCCTGGGAAACAACCGAGCAGTTCATCGATATTTATAGCGATATTTTTTGCGACATTAATGAACATTTGATCACTGCCTCTGGGACCATTGATGCTTAATTCCCGTTCGTGCTCACCTCAAATAAAATAGAAATTTATTGGGATACTTCTGGTATTGTTCTGGTACTTCTTGTATTCCACTGGTCAATATGAAATTTTTGATTTTTAATTTGCTGATACCGATTAGCTCGTTGTTAAATGAATGAATCTAGTGCGATTCTTAAATAGTTATTAGGTCTTCTCATATCGCTATCATCCCTTAGCACAACTTTAAAACTCTGTTACTTGCGTTTAAAAATCAAATCAAAGTTTATTGTATTTTTTAATCGCGAAATTTAATCGTGAATAAGGATATGGATGAGTTTTGTGATTTATACAATTTTATAACTTTATGATTTATAATCTAAGGTCCTAATTTTTTTTCTTCTTATAGTAGGTCGCACCATTGCTGGTTTCCTTGGGTTTCCTTGGCTCCACTGACGAAGAGGTTAAGACACTTCCAAGCTGCACAGGTAACGGAGGTGATGCCATCGCTGAGAATAATAGAGACCATTCTTTTTTCCATCTATGCCTATATATCGTTGGTCCACCTATATTTGGTTCAAAATCTTTCCTAACTGTATTAGTCCAGATTTTGATCCTCCTTGCTTTTGACGCCATCCATTACAGGATTTGGTAATAACGAAATAGGTATCAATTCCTATCATGGACGACAAAGAACGTGTCGTCCCTTAACCAGTAGATGCGATGGTGATATCAATGTAAATGGTATTTTGATGGTGGTATTTTAGCGAAGGTGGACACAGTATGTGAGATTTTCTCTATTCGGCGGACCCGTAAAATGTACATCAGAGGTGATTTCTTAATATTCTCCACTCTTATTGGCCATGCCTCGCAGCCATATAGCAAGGTCGAACGAATCACGATACACCACTCATCACTTCTCCTTTGGCAAGCTTTATTGGCTATAAAATGAGATTTGGTAGAATTGAGGAAAAATACGAATAAATACTCGGTACCATCCGGAGCTCAATGGCATATTTAACACCATCAAAGGATACGAATGGTCAAACCGGATCGATGTCGAGGCAACATACCATTCGCCCCAGCTGTTATTTTTTTAGTTCCTATCGATAAAATTCTCATTCATAGATGTATTCCAATTACATTACATCGCTCGATATAAAACGAAAAAGTGAATTTAAAACTTTAGTGAAAATTTGAAAAAAAATTTTTACCAAATTTCGGTTCATCGACTTTCCAATTTTGCGCAGATTTATAAGCGAGAATGTTTGCTAAATTTTCAAGAAATATACACATCTGAAAATATATATTTTCAGATGTGTATTATGTGTAAAATATAGAAGATTTTATTCTATTGTGTAAATTACTTTGTTTATAAATAAATTACTTTGTTTTTGATTATTAAGCAGAATTATTTTGGTTATCAAACATTCTATTTATATTTACAATTTTTATCAAACATTTTTATCAGTTGTATGTGCAGATTGTGACCTTCAATTTAAGCCAGAGAACTGCAAATAAATGCAAATTTATGCGCCTTCGTTTTATAATAAATTAATTAAAATAATAATTGCAATCACGCGCGCGTAATTAGCAGACTCTTTGACTTGTAAAAAACGATTTAAAAACAAATCGAACTTACTCGTTGACGTGGAATTGCATTTTGCATGCAAAAAGCCAAAAAATTGACTAATTCCTTGATTTCGGTATACATTTCGGTATATGTTTTTCGTTTAACTGTGTTGTACCGTATCGAACCACCGCAAACGAAAGATTCGATTATCTTCAAAGCTTGATGAGTAAACAACTCATAAAGGAAAAGCTCCACCCACCGATGATCAATTACAATAGTTCAATAGTTTGCTAGAATGTAAGAAAAAGTAATTAAACTAATTATAAAGTAGTTATAAGATTACACAGAAATTATCATTATCATTGGGTTTTTATTTTTCACGCACTCAATATTATTGATACATTTGTATGTAAAACTTTTCTTTGAAAAATAATAATTAAAACTGTTCTGATATTCGGCATTATCGCAAGTTGCATTAAAAATAAAAAAGAAAATGAAAAAAAAATTTAAAAAAACGATGTACAATTTTCCTAAACCCACTGCGGGCGTGGCTAATGGCGAAAAACTAAGTTAACGGTTAGATGAACTTCCACAAATCAATAGAAAAAATTAAAACTGAGTCGAAAAAAAATGTTACCACGTGGACAAAACGACGTGGGTGGTCTCTTCCTCTGTTTTTTCATTTCTTTAGAGTTGCCCAAGTTATTGCCTGTGTTACCACCTTACCGCCACCACGTTACCATCGTCCTAACCGTCCTACCCCCGTGAGTTCGCCACGTTATTGCTCGGCAATCATATAGCCCTGGTAATCAGTGGAAAAAACAAGAATTATCAAAGTGTTTTTGGAAAACAAGTGGGAAAATGTAACTTGAAAAAAAATTTTGTGGACTTTACAGTGGAAGAGAGAGTTACATGTTATTTTATGTCACTGCCATCCCACCCCGTTTCACCATCATATCGCCATTATTTCATTGCCGTCCCACCATGTATCACCATCATATCGCTATTACTGCATTATTTGATTATCATGCGGACCAATCAAACAGACAGTACTTATATGTATATGATATGATTATAAATAAAATAGTGAAAAGGACTTTAGCAAATATTATTAGAAGGTCTTTTTTTTCGTTACGAATTCGAAGAATTGGATTGCGATAGGAGGAAGCCAGCCACTGAGATATATACGTGGTACTGACGATCCATCCTCTTCGGGCTCTACAAATGTTTTCATAACGCAGCTTCAACAAATGTACTCTCTAGTATGGGAAGAAGAAATATTACCAGATGATTAGAACAAAGCAATTCTGCACCCAGTTGTCGAGAGGGATGATAGGACATAATGCGACAATTAACGAAGAATCAGTCTATAAGACTTCTAGAAAATTTTTGCTTTCCTCTTACTCAACAGACTTACGGCAGTACGGGACAACAAAATGCGACCTATTCAAGCTGGATTCAGACCGGGGCGCGGTTGTGCTGACCAGATATTTACGTTAAGAAGGGTGTTGGAACATCGTCTCAGATATTTGCAACCCACTGTCATGTGCTTCATCAAATTTGCGACTGCTTTTGATTCAATTGATATAGCTGCGCTTTGGAAAGTGATGAAATACGACGGTATTCAAGAGAAAATCATTCGACTCATAAAGGCATTTTATGAGCGTAAGTCAGCGCAGGTCTGTGTATATGGGGAACTGGCAAACTCCTTCGAAATAAGAACTGGCGTTCGCCAAGGCTGCGTCCTTTCCCCTACAATATTCAACTGTGCGATGGACTGGGTAATGGACACCGTTTGTCGGCCCTCAAGAGGTGTTCAAATTAATCCAGAGCACCGTATCACAGATCTTGAATACGCTGATGATATAGTCCTTTTTGCTGACAGTTATGACGAAATGCAAGTAATGCTAAATAAGGATTCAGAAACTGCAGCAAGAATAGGACTCAATGTATACAAAAGGAAAGTCTAAAGGCGACATTACAACCCGGATCAATGCAGTTAGAAATGCGCTCTTCCGATTGACGAAACCTTTGTGGAGCCGTCGTGAAATTACCATTAAAACGAAAGTCCATCTCTATATAGCCGTGATTCGCTCGATCTCGCTATATGGTTCTGAGACATGGCCAATGAGAGTGGAGGATATTAAGAAGTTATCTGCCTTTTACCACTTTTGTCTAAGGTATATTTTACGGGTTCGCCGAGTGGATAAAATCTCACAAGATCGCATCCACCTTCATTCAAATACCACTTGTAATGTTATCACAGAGCTGCGTTGGTTAGGGCACATTCTCCGTCGTCCACCACAGGAATTTCGTTACTTGCTAAACTGTGTGATGGGTAGCGTCAAAAGCGAGGTGGGCTAGTCAAGACCTGGGCTGATACGGTTAGAAAAGATTTTGAACGTATAGGTGGACCAGCAATGTATGGATTTAGACGATGGAAAAAGGAACGGCTTCTATTACTATCTACGATGGCATCAGACTACGCCGTTTAGAAGCGTCTTACCCTTGTAGCCGTTGGAGCCAGCCTAACCAACAATGGTGAAAGCTGTTAGAAGAAGAAGAAGAATCGTGTTAATCATGTTAATCCGTGAAATACAAGGAGATATATTATAATAGAGATAAAGTTGAAAAAGAGGAGCAAAAAATTTTAAAAAGAAAGTTTTCTCACTTTTATTGGAATTGATTTTGCTGCTTGCGGATTTAGAATATATAACCCTTATTGCTTAATATTGTCACTTGGTGCCATACTCTTATTTCTTCCCAATACTTCTTTATTCATTGCTCCGATTCAAACATCTCAAGATATTTATAAGATTTAAAAAATTGTTGTCGAAATTTATCGTTTCATTTTTATTTATTATTATATTAACCAGAAACAGACTATTTCGTTGGTTTGTTATTATGAAAAAAATTAGATTCCACAGGTTGTAACTGAAATTTTCGTCAATCAGCCATTTGAAGAAGTGCAGATGGGTCGTCAGCAACATTCTCTTGTAAGAAAAAGCAGCCTTTGCATCTCAGTATGATGACCTGTGGTACTATTTATGAAACCAATTAAAGGCCACCTTATAACTAAACAAGATAAATGGAAATTTTTTTAAAAATTACTATTGATGTCTACCTGTCAATTTTTTAAATGAAAGTGAGTATTTTTGTTGGCTTATAATTATGCAAGTCGAATAGCAAAAGATCCTTGCTTAAAACCTTAGTCAGCCATTAAGAAAATTTCTAAATTGATAATTCAACAATTTCTATTTCATTTGAATTTAGCTTCAATTAACTACAAAAATAATTACTACCTACTAGGAATATGGGATTAGTTTATGAGCAAAATATTATGAATGCACTGGTAATTCTATTATAATGACGGTTTACTGCAATGTAAAACAATAATGCATCATTTTACCATAATCCGAAAAAGAAAATTCATCCAGTGAAAAATCCATCCCTCATCCATCGAGATGAATTTCCAGAATAGAAATTCAATTTTAAGTTTATTCACTAGTAATGAATTTTGAATGTGTGGCAGCTTCAAGCAGATTCTGCATTTGCACAAAGTCATGCATTCTTGTACTCTTAATAGTTAGAATAATCATTAATATATGTGGCTATTTCTCTGTCTTCACTATAGCACTTATAATACTTTTGGGCGATATTGTTATTATGCAGTCTTATACAAAAATATTACTTGTTATTAATCAGCCCTTCTTTTTCTTTTTTATTACATGGCTATATTTTTGATTTTGATTTGATTTTTTTCAATATTGTTCACTATTTCTAGTAATCATTTCGCTAGCTTGTCTAATTTGCGAGAGGTATAAAGATGAACCCCATGCACCACCTGGATTTTTAGAAGATCGGATTTTTAAAAACTCGGCACAGTTGCTTCGAACTGCTCTTAACCATTCCACCTCCTTTAATTTTCTGGAAAACTTCGATTCAGGAGAGCAAGAGAGAACATTTAGTATTTACGATCCAAAATTGTATTATCATTAAAAGCAGGTAGCACTTTAGCGAGCATTCATTCATCCCAACTGGCATCATTTCTCAGTCTTTCGTAATTGTCCATACACTCATCCTTCTTCTTATCATCTTTAAATTTCGTTATGAATTTTGAATTTCTTAATGAAATGAATAAATTTTCTGTTTGCCATAACATTTGCATAAAAAGCAACAAATGCATTAACAAACGTTTAAACTGTTCCTTAAAGCATTTGCTGCTTTTTATGCAAATGTAACGGCAAACAGAAAATTTATTCATTTATTTTGTGTGAACCACTTCTTACTTACAGAATTAAATAAGTAAATAAATTAACGATATCTACAACTGTTGATTAATTCAAATTTCTCTTTTATAGTATATCGCATTTTCTTTTAGGAATCCTTACCATTACTGGTTAAACTTACTCTGCTGGCTTGTCACATTGAATAAATATGCCAGAGTCGCTTAGCGATAGAACGACAGGACCTATATTCACCACTATTAATGAAAAAAGTTCCAATTAATGCAGTGCGACTTATATTTGTGAAATTACTTGCAATAAAAAGCAATTACTGTGCATCCCAAGCATGTCTATTATTTTTAAATCTTACCTGAACAACGAGCTATATTTAGTGGAATTATTTCCGACTTGCTATCGACGATGGCATTAGATCGCGCAGCGATAATTCTCATACTGATTAGACTGATTCCACTAACTACAACAGTAAGGCGTTTCCAAGTTACGCGAACTGAGGCTATCGTCGACAGTAATAGAAGTCACTCCTTTTTCTATAGTCTATGTCCATATATTCAAAAATTTTATTCAATTTATTCAATTCTTATTTAATTCAATTCATTCAATTCTTATTTATTCAATTTATTCATAAAATTTAATTCTTATTCAATTCTTTCATCTTGAGCGGCTTGTGTATTTCTATTCCACTGTTATTTTTTTCGGAATATTTTTAGAATTTCTATAAACTACAAGCTAAACTTTTTTTTCTAAATTTAAAAAAAATTGAACAAAGAATTGAAATAAAATATTTAGTATATATATATATATATATATATATATATATAATTTATAACAATAATATAAAATAAATAAATAAATAAATAAAATAAATAAATAATACTATCAGCGTGGAACGTCAAAACGCTTATGGACGTTGCAAATCAAGCAATTATTGTCCACAACCTTTCTAAATATCATGCGGATATCGTTTGCTTGTCGGAGGTCCGCCTTCCTCACGTCGAGTCTCAGGTAATTACTAATTCTCGTTCGGAGCAGAGGTGCTGGCTATATCACTGCGGTGCTTCGAATAACTCGGGACGAAATGGCATAGCGATTGTCATGTCTGACTGGGCTTATTTTGCTTCGATTGAGTGGAAACCGGTAAACGACCGTATGGCCTATGCCCATTTTAAGGGTAAGTTCTGCAATATCTCGGTCATCAGTGTCTATGCTCCAACTATGTCGACAGATAACCGTGATAAAGATAAGTTCAATGCAAAACAAAGTCTCCACCGAAACATGGTCATAATGGGGGAAGACTGTGCGACTGTGCGATAGGTCATAATGCCGCTGCGATGACTGACCTCTACAATTGGCAAATGTGGCATCGGAGACCTGTGCATCAATATGAACGCCTTATTCGTTATGTCAAAGAGCTTTAACTTTGCTTCAGGCATCGAAAAAATCATCTAGTCACGTGGAACTCCCCGGACAACTAGCACTTTAACCGGATTGGTCATATTTTAGTCAGTCGTCGTTGGAAGAGTTCCGTACTAGATAGTTGTTCCTATCGCGCTGAAATGGGCAATCTTCATAGATCTAATTATGTTAAGGTTCGCAGAAAACAGCTTCCCCCAATCCTTCAACTATCTCAGACTAAAAAATTCGCAGTGAGCGCATTTCAAACGCCGTATTATTGAAGCACCTCAATGGCATAAATATCAGTGACTTTTCTGGAACGGCAAAATAATACTGGTCCAAACTAAAGGAATGTCTAGAGCAAACTAATAGGAAATGTGCTGGTTGGGTATAGGAAACAACTGTCCAACTGTCTAAAAAAATTGTCAAAGAACAAATGTCAGGTGATTCTGATTACCAAATGCTTCAAAAGCAGCATAAATCACTATTGGAGCGATATGGCATTGAGAATGGAGACGGCGACTCGATTAGGCGATAATAAAAAACTATCCCGCCTTCTTCATAAAGCAACTATGACCCGGGGAACAATCTATGAAATGGTAAAATACAGCAATGGCGCATCAAAAGTATTAGGGGTGGCCTCATAAGATGGAAAGAATTCTTTGAGGCCATGATGCACCATCAGCTACCCCTTATGCAGCTGATACGTTCGCCAACTATACACTTGCAATTGCAAGCCTTCGAAAGAAGAAATAATCTCCGTTATCCATAAGTTCAAGGCCAATAAGGAAAAAGCCGGTCTTCGGGCTTACTCTTCAAGTAAGGCGACATTACAACCCATACCACCGCAGCTAGCAATGCGTTCTTCCGGTTGACGAAATCTCCATGGAGCCATCATGAAATCGCTATAAAGGCGAAATTCTTCGTCCATATAGTGAAATTCACTCGATCTCGCTATATGGATGCGAGGAATTACCTATGAGAGTGGAGAATATTAAGAAGCACTATTTGAGCACTCTTGTCTAAGGTACATTTTACGGGTCTCTGTCCAGCGGATAAAATATCACATAATTATATCGCTTCATTCAAATAGACTGAACCGTACATATTCAAAATGGTATTGCTTCAATGCCTCATCGAATGCCTTCTTCAGTGCGATTTTTTAAAATTTATAAAAAGTTCAATTTAATTATTTATTTCGGTTTAATCGCTATTTTCTTAAATCATCATCGATTTATTAAACAAAAAATAAAAAATTTTGTAACGCTTTAAACAGCTTCACTTGCTGTGCTTAATTTGATTCAATTGTTCTAATTATTTCATTTATTCATTTTCATTAAGTTATTGAATTTTATTTTATAGACATTTAGTTCTATTTGCTATGCTTAATTTGATTTTAATTCCTATAATAATTTCTAACTGAAGCAAATTTTTCACTTAATTCATTGAAATAATTGCTGCAAAATGCTATCTATTTAATAGTTAGATTTTAAATTGATGTAAATTACATGACTTTTTAAATATATATATTTTAAATATATAAAGAAATAGTGATAATAATAAGATTTTATCGCTTCCAAAGCCAATTAAAAACTATCAAAATAAAAAATATCTATACGAATAAACCAACATGTTTACAATTTATAAGCCAGTGTAAACCATGCCAATAGCAACCATCAGCTTTATTTTTTAATAATTATGATAAAATAAGAGAATTTTATTGGAAAATTTTTATTTAATTAATGAGTAAGAGATTCTCTCTACCATCTCGGTTTGGTTTTTTTTATAAGTTCATCTATTAATGGGATGAGGCTGAAAGACAAAAAATGGTGAACTGATAGCACAGTCAACTCGGCCATACTGCTCTCTACTACAAAGTTTTATCTAGCTTTTATTTAAAACTCAGCGTGCAGTAAATTTTAAAAAATTGCTTAAAAATATTTCTAAAATTTTTTAAAAGTTTTCAGCTACTGCAATAAAATTTCTCTTGAAATCCTACTGATTAATAATAAAAATTAGAAATAAAATAACTTTAAACGCACTCCAGCCATGATCAATCGCAAAAATAATGTTACAGCAAATTATTGGGTTGTTGTAATATCTGGAAATGGCTGGGATAATGTTGCGTAACATAATGATGTTTCATTGGCAGTTGAACTAGGAGTCCGTCCAACATTTGTATGAAATACAGATGAATGGTTGACAGGAATATTCACAGATACTTGACTTGTTACAGGATTAAACGACAAATGATTTGATAGAAAGCGATCCACTGATGGTTTATTTATATTATTAAAATGAGCCTGAGTTGCATGATTGATTTGTTGATTTAGATCGGACATAATGGACAAATTTGAGATCGATTTTTGTTCCTTTTTTCTTTCAGCTATTATTGAAAGATTTCGTTGCATCTCAACTAGCAGAGGAAGCAAACCGACATCATTCATTATTATATATGAACGCAGAGTTTCAATAGCATGAGAGACCTAAAAATTTTATTTAGAAATTTAATCAATAAATTTAAATAAGAGAAGCTTATAATACTTTCAAACTGGAAAAATTTATTTCAAAAAATCACATTTTCAAAAAAGAACAGACCTATATTATGGTTATATTATGGTTGAAGTGGAAAAAATAAACCAACCTCAGCTTCATCTGCTCTATAGGAACAGGTCTGTAACAATGCTTGGATGGATGACAAATTCATTTCACTGGCCAAGGGCGTTCCAGTACTTTGAGCTAAAAATAAGACTCAGACTTGATATAGACTTATTTGAAACAAAAAATATTTAATACCTTGGACGAAAATGACCACTTAAACGACCACTAATGATTTAAGCCAAGACGCAGCAGAAAAGAAAAAAGTTATAATATTTTTGGATCTTAAGGAAAAAAAAACATTAAATGGTTATACTTTTTGATGATGGTTGTAAAGCGACGGAAGTATTTGGGACATTCATGAGCATTTGAGTGAGATCAAGAGGTCGAGTGGTATGCACAGCGACCGTTGCTTGGCATGGCGGAATATCTACAAAGTAGTTAATTTCATAAATTCATTATAAAACGATGGAACAAACAAAATAAAATAACCATACGAAACGATAATTACACAGAGAAGTTAGAAAAACAAAAATTTACCACAGTTAGCCATAGACGATAAAAGATTTGAATTGTTATTAACGGATTCATTAATATCACCAGAATTTTGAAGACCAGCTGCAATATTAGTTGCTTCCATCAAAAATCGATTGGCATCAACAAACACTGAAGTATCATTATCTACCATTGTACATGGACTATGAGATGGACCTGAAGCATTTTTATTGACAAATTCAAAATTGTATTATTTTAATGGAAATTTTATTTTATTTATTTACAATTTCATTTTTTGCATAAGAATTACTTCTTTCATCAGGACAAGAATTATCACCATCCATTTCGTATATCACTGGCTGTCCTGACATTGTTTTAAGATCAATGTTGTGGCGCCTTTTAAATGAATCCAACCACCCTTCCGATCCTTTGAAATTATGTAAGCCTAGAAAAAGGAAAATAAAATCTTAAAATACACAAAAACTAAGAAGAAACGAAGAAAATAAATAAATAAAAATGAATTCTCAACGAAAATTTTTTGTCGCTGGTCCAGTAGATAATTGTAATTATTTACCCAAGAATAAATGCAGAAGATGGAAAATGGACATATGAACTTTCAGCCACAATTACTCTTTTCTTCTAAATTTTTTTCCCTACAAGCACTCATTATTTCCGGTCAAGTTCGCTTTATAGCTATGAGATCTTTTCGTCAGAGAATAAGCCAAATGTGGAATGAAATACAGTTGGGTACCCAATCCGCATTTGCCTTTTAATGATGTTTCTAATATTCCTAATGTTTCCAGAATGGCAAAAATTCTCTTCTTTCAATCATTTTTTTGGCTGGCTTGTCTAGATCCACTAATTATGAGAATAGGATCCTTCCGTTAAATCACTTAATGGTATAAGGTAGATCCTCATCACCAATTGGAATCAGTATTACAGTATAGACGATTAAAAAAAAACGATTAAACAGTAATAATAATTAAAATAAAGCTATTTTAAAAAAATTTAGAAAGTTTAAAAAATTTTTAGAAAATTATAAAATTTTTTCTAGAAAATTTTTTTTTCGGAACAAAAAAATATAGGCAACCCAAGTTCTTCGCCACAGCCAATGCTTGTTCCTTTAATTGGCGCCCATTCAAAATGATTCCACGATCGCGGCACTCACAAAAATATTGCCACATCAACACATTAAGACCAACAAAGCTAGTACGACGGCGTTTCAGTGTTATTCGATCGGAAGGAGATGAAGCTTGATGTCGAATAACAGGTATTCGATCTCGTAAAACAGTTGCGACCTAAAACGATATTACAATAAATCGAAATAATGAAGTCTTTCTTTTCAATCCTTCTACTGATTTTTCAAACTATCGAAACTATGTTTCCAGAACACAACTTTTAATAATCTCACCATCAAAACAAGCAGAATTAAAATTTTCTTAAGAACAACTTATCTGTGCCTTAGTTGCACCATATTTAATTTCAAGCTCGTGTGGAAGCATGCCAGCATCAAAATCTGCGATCATTGAAATCTGAGTCGTACAACTAAGTTGTCGACAACTGGTTGCGCTAAAAATACAATTCATCTCGTAAATTTCTGAATTAGATTTTTTTCTTATTGCAATATTTGCGGGCGCTTAATCTTAGATAAATCAAATTCTGATAGCAGAGCTTACATTATCCTTCATTAAAAATATATTTTTAAATATACTTCTTAGTGGTACTGCAACTGAATTGTTATAAGTGTACAAACAGGAAGGAAAACGTTAGAAAATATCAATTATTTCTGAAACCTATAGTGCAAACAAATAAATGTTTTCGAATTCGATTTTTTGTGCCAGCCAGATTTATCTTTTTTCTTCATTCTTAATTTCTTAATCATTCTTCATTCTTAAAATCTGAACCACTTCAAAAAAAAGTTGAAAGAAGTAAAAGTAATAATAAGTAATAATAACTTAATACTAAATAAAAGATTACAATCTTATCAAGTAGTACCATTTGACATTTTTGAACGCCAATATTACAAGAATGACCAACTTAATCGAATAGCACGAAAAAAAATAAGTAATAATCAATTACTATTAATATAGGAAATGAAACATAATGTCGACCAAAATAAAGATTTTGCCATAATACTTTTTAATATTTTTTTATTAATAATAAATAAACAAAAAACACAAAAAATAACTTACTTGACATCATTAAAACCGTAAAGCGTTGCATGTTTTTCTCTATTTTCACTTTTTGGTTGAATATCTCGTTCATAAAATTTTTCTGCATTTAGTGGAGATGAACAATGGTTTGATTCTGTAATTCAATTTAAACATTTAATATTCTGAATAATATAAAGATATAAGTGATAACTGAGATAAAATGATAAATGAAATAAAATAAAATAATAAAATAATAAGAACCAATATAAAAACATTAAAAAGAAAAAAAAAGACAAAAAAGCATACAGGCAATTCGGAAATAGTACAATTAAAAGAATATTATTATCTGAATTCAAATAACACTACGACGACTAAATGATATTTTGGAGGACCAAGACAAAGTTAAAAAGTCCGATTCCTATGTCTTTATGGAAAACAATCATTAAATATAAAATCTGAAAGATATTGATGGGAACTTACACGTAATTCTATCAGCAAATCTCTAGCAGAAATCTCAGTCTCATAGATAGCTAAGCTAAAAATCTTAAGCGCAATTTCTCAACTTTAAGAAAAAAAAAAATTCTAATTTCACTTACGTATTGTAGACAATTCGTCGAGTGAATTCATTGAATTCGAATTGATACTAATATCCTAATTAAATTTCGTAAATAATTGAATTGAATAAGTGAATTTAAAAAAACTTAAATGAATTTGAATTTATTGACAAACTTGTATAAATTTATTTAAGCCCAACCCAAAAGCATAAGTATAAAATATCTTGAACTTATAGATGGAATATAGGTTTAAGATGGTACAAAAAAAAGTGGCTTCTCCATTCAGAAAAATAACTGGGTCGGAAGGCTTAAAAAAAGGCTTAAAAAAACTCGTATCTGCCAAGGAGTAAACCAAACCAATAATGGAGCTAAAAGAAGAAAAAGAAATTACGCAATAACCAATTAAAATTTCACGGAATTTCAGATTAGAATAACATTCGACTGATTTTCATGAATTTTGCAAATTCTTTATTAATTTTCAATATGCTTTCTTATAACCGTTACTAATAACAAGAATATTTGAGTGGTGATGGAGATTCATTCGTACTTATCCCTAAAAATCATATTTCTTTGGTCAATTCATCTCAATAATTAATAATCAGTCAGTGCCGCTAGCCAGTGAGTGAAATTAGAAGAATATATAAATTCTACATTTTTGGCCATAGTGAAAGGATTTGAACCGTTCACAAATCGACTAGCATTATTTGTTGTGCTTGGTTCGGCAATATTTAAATTAACCGTCGATTGCTCGATTGAAATTTTTGGATCAAAAGATGAAGATGATGATTTCTCATTCAAATGCTAAAAAAATTGAATTTAGAAAGTATGTGAAGATAAAACGAAAAGAAAAAAGAAAATTCAAGAAATCCATATAATTATTATAAAAATCTGCATCGTTTCAACTAAGGTTTGAACAAGATTCGATTTGTGAAGGGAATGAACTTGTCATTAAAAGCTAAATCCAAATGATGCAGGGAACACATGTATTTAATCCTCCGGCGAAGGAACATTAATAACCACTGAAAGGCAACCAGAAATAACGAGTTGAAAAATCAGTTAGAATAAATATAAATTTGCAAAATAAAAGAAAGAATCATCAAACCTTTAACCGGGCCAAATTCTTCCTTTGCATATCCTTCATCCAACTTATTATATTCTTTTCAAATCCACGACCATTTGCCCTGTGTACCCGCACAGCTTTTGCTATTAACTATAACTTTTTCTTTTATTAAGAATTTTTATTTAAAATAAGATCATTTATGCATTACTTAAATATCTGAAAAAAAGTACCAATTAAAATTAATTAATGTAAAATTAATTAATCAAAATTAAATAATATAAAAATTAAATAAATATGGAATTTTATCAACCGATTAATTTATTTTTTAAACTGTAAAAATAATTTACTTTAGGCTTTTCTATGATTTCAACTGTGTAGTACTAGCGCTCAATTATTTTTTTATTCTTAAGCAACTCTATCTATCCTGAAAATTTTCCGCTCTGGAGATCAAACCAATTTCAACTGACGGAGAATAATTTAATTAGTCTAAAAGCAGCAAATCAATTCTGACTCAAAATCTTTATGGGTTATTTTATAAAAATAAAATTATAAAATAAAATTGTACGAAACCTCTTTGACAGTTAATTCGCGATATGTATCAAAATCCTCGGTAATTGTCGAAGTTACTGAAGCATCATTGATTCGATCTGTTTGCAAATTTTTTGGCTCAGCTTTAGAAGTATTTTCATTACTGTTGCTGCTTTTCGTTGTATTATTGTGAATATTATTTCCTGTTTCCTTAAACTTCGCAGCCTAAAAAATTTATTCATTTTTTACAAAGCAGAATAAAGAAAAAACTATTAAAACAACGACCAAAACCTATGACCGATGAACAACAATATTCAAAACCAAGTGGAAAATACAATTTAAAAAAGCATAGAAAAGAAAATATCTTTATATTTTTATATTATATTTTATATATTATATTTTTATTATATTATATTTTTTATAATATTATATTTTTTAAAAAATATATTTTTTTTAAAAAAATCTTTAATCCACTTAAACTATGTTATTATTAATAAATTTGAATTAAAAAAATTTAAAACATAAATTTCTCATAAAAAAATTTCGGATTAACAACATTTAGGATGAAAATCTAGATAGCCTTCGAGCTGAACTATTCAAATGCTGCCCAGCGTCCTTGGTAGTTTTTAGATTTTTATCTCTCTTCTGCAGAATAAACTCGTCCGTGATGGTAAAACACACCTTAAATCGTATTTGGGGAATAGTTGTTTTACTGATACAAATTTTTATGCTGAGAAGAATATTGGAACATCGTGTATTCGCAACCTATAATCTAAAATGCTTCATCGACTTTACCTCTACTCTTTATTCGTTCGACATGCTGTAACCATGTCATGTAACACGACATTCTAGCGAAAATAATCAGACTTAATCATTTCCCTGGTATATATCAGCGCAAGACCGGTAAGCACCTGGGTTACATCCTCTCTTCGAATTTTCATTCAGTTTATTTGCGTTGTGTTATATTATATACTGCTTATCGGTAATCAAGATATGCACAAATCAATCCACAACGACTTATAAGCTGAATACGTTATCCCTTTCTGATAGTTACGAGAAATTACAAAACATTGGATCGGGTGTATCAACGAAAATTAGCTTTCAAATCAATGTATAAAAAAAACGAAACTCTTTTTCTCTTATATAAGATAAAATCACGATTCCAAACAAATTTATTAAAAGTTCAAGAAGTTTCACAGCTTAAATTATCTCTGATCCACTATATCTAATGGCCAAATAAAGGATGAAATTCCACCTCATACGCATAATACCATTATGTTATGAAAGCAGATTAATGAGAGTGAAAGGAAGACATTTTTTTCTTTTGATTATTTCTACTTACCTGCCAAGTGGACAATGTTTGCATCCACCCTTGCCGAGTAAATTTTTCATTAAGATTAGTGAAAAAGCACCGCATGCACTTCTTAGGCCAAGTCTTCGTTGTCAAGAATTGAAGCACATTTCAGTACTTGAGTCCTGTGATGAATGGCGTCAAAACTGAGGAGGACCATTCAAGAGCTGAACTGTCAGGAATGAGTAATAAGGATACAATTCTGAATGCATAAGTGGCCTCGCAATAAACTGCGACGCCTTACCCTGACCAGTGGAGCAAACCAAACCAATTATAGTGTGTAATTATTAGATAAGATAAGATTAAAGACTACATCTAAAGGAAATCTTTACCAAATACTACTACCTTTAATTTTGACGAACTGGTGAATGCTAGTCGCTTGCGACTTTGGACATATTTATCTGCGTATGAAATTTTCATCACTTCCTGAAAATAACTGATACTACATAAAGATGGGATCACCCATCAAATCTTATGCCTGATTTCAAAGCTTAATGTCAAAGAAACACCATAAAGCAATTTTCTTAAAGTGATTTTAAAGAACCTTCATAGCAGTGTTATTGCTCATAAGTATAGCGTCCATAGCTGCAACGGCAGCAGCTCGTTGTCTACGCGGATACAAATCGCTGCTGGATGAAGATCGTCTTGGCTCTCGATTTATGCGCTTCATTTCCTCAAAATATTCGAACGATTCAAAAAAAAATAACCGATTAATCAAATTTTCGAAATTAGTTTTAGGTTAATTTACAAAAATTTTCAACAAATTATTCACATGTTCCTCAGCAAAAAATGAAATTTCGAAAAAAATCATAAAAAATTAGCAGCCTTTAACCTTTAGCTTCCAAGTTTCCCAATTTTAAATTTATAAATATATTATAAATTTATAAATATATGCATTATAGTAAGCAAAAAATTTTACTGAACGCTTTGAACGAAAATTATTGGATTTCATTTGTTTTGTTGATTCAATAGTCGCAAGATCACTGCCGTGTTCACCATCGTAATGTCGACTATTTGTCCAGCGACTATTATCATCATTCGGAATTGTTTTATTATTAATGTTGGTGATTTCGGCAATATTTGTAGATGAAGTGGGATGATGATGTCGATTAGATCGACGCATTTCAACTATAAATTAAATTATAAGCTTAGAATGAAGCCAAAAAAATAGAGACCATTAATTCGAAATATATAGAAATACTGATAAGAAGAAACATGGAGAATTTAGAAAATAACCTCTTTGATTTAAAAAAAGAAAAGGTCGCTTAATGATCGCTGAACTAATGTCATATGAGGAAAAAAAGCAGAGCAGGTTTTCGTATTTCGGCAAATAGAAATAAAATATCTCGTGGCTATCTTCAGGAGATAAAATTTTTGTGTTCACGAGAATATTTACAGCTGAAACTCATTCAAGCAAGGAGGAGAGGGAGGAAACTGCAAAATAAGTTGCTTTCCGCAGCCGAAATTCACCAAACCCAATAAGCTGCATGACGAATCGTCACCAAATTACAAGTACTGCATGTATTAAAATTACATGAATTAAAATTAAATACTAATTAAATTATAACTATAAATATCAAAATTAAATCGATATACTTAAGGCAATTAAATTGAGAAAATAGAAAAAATTAAATTGAGTGGTTGACGTCGAATAATATGGATTTAATTCTCGAGATCGCCTAAGAAAGATTTAACATATAATTGAAAAATTCGGTCAAATGTAACCGAATTATCAGTTATCAGTTATCAGTGGTTCCATCTTTGAATGAATTTAAGGGCAAATTGTACTGGTGAAATCAAAGCAAATATTTCCGTTTATGTTCGCAGAATCGTTACGCTGAAAAAAAGATGTATGGATGGACGCATTGAAAGCGATTTCGAATGAAGCCTACCAACTTTATGTCGAAAAGATGAAATAGCGAAGAGAGAAAGATGAAGGGAGGGATGGCTAGAGAAAGTTTTAGAGAGTACGGAAATGGTGGGGAATTAGAAAAATCGACAAAAAACCCAACGAGAGATTATTCAAATTCACGAAGTTAGAGAAAACCACAAAGGTTTTCTCATGCTGTCTGCTGCTCTCAGTTAAACGCCCTCCTTCCTTGCCACTTCCACTGTTCCTCCTTTTTTGACGTCCTTTCTCCTCGAATGTTTTTTCACTTCCAATTTCTCTTCTGTTCTTTCTCTCATTTTACTTGTTCCTTCAGACTTCTTTCGGAAATAATTCTGTCTTCATTTCTTTATTTCTTATTTTATTTCTTTCTTTTTCCCTCATAAATACTCTCTCACTGACACAAACTATTTTCGCTAATTTAATTCGCTAATTAAAAAAATTAAAAATATTGAACTTGATTTCAGTGAGAAAATAGATTCTGTGAAAGAAATCGGAAGTGAAGAAAAGGCAATAAGAAATTTTGCCTTTTTACAATAAAAATATTTTTGAATTATTCAAATAAAAAAGTAAAAGACGAGATTGTTTAATATTATTTGCATCCAAAACTCGAATTCATTCCTTAAACACTCGAAAAATGGAATAAATCTTAGTTTAAATGATTCATTAATAAGCCATGAATTGAAGGAGCAATAAAATTTCGCGGATCTGATCTGAGAGATAGCAATCGAGAGGTGCTCGTTCGCTGATCTGATCTGAGAGATAGCAATCTGCTTTTGGTGATTGTGGATTGTGTAGTCCTTAGGGTTGTCGTAAATCCACTGGTGTTCACGATCATGCTTTTACAAGCTTTGAACTCGAAATCATCTTTTAGATTTGCTTGAACTCGAAATTGTACTTCCAAAAAGTTGTGAAGTGGCTTTAATATTAATGTGGCTTTTTCCCTTTCTGTCACCAAGCAATTCTTCCAGTCAGCCAAGTATGCCTCGAAGAGAATTGGTCTATTGCTTTTCACAGTCATCTTCATGCCTAAAATGTTTATTTATGTGGTGCGTAGAAGAATTTATTTCTTTCCCAGGTTGATTTCTTTAATGATGGTGTGTTTAGTCACTTCAAGGCAGGTTAGTTTTTCTATCACTAAATGTGGTGTTTTATTGAATTAGTTCAACTTCGATTTTCCATCACTTTTAGTAATATTTCAAATCTTTTAGTACAACAGTTATGAAAATCTCGGTTTTGATTTTCATAGTGGACTAACTAGATGAAAGAACTCTTTCAAAATACAAGGTTGCTGAAAAAAAAATATCTGAAGCCTTATTTATAAAAATGTACGAAACTTGCCGTCCATCCTTAATTAGCATTTTATACGCGCTATATACGTTCATGATTTCTGTATACGTTTTCTCCGATTCAGCACGACAAGTGGATAATTAATGGATGAAATTTCGTCTTTATTGTTTTAAAAATCCATCCCAAAAACACCTGTTTCATGTTAGTGCTTTTTTTCCATTCTTTCCGCATATCAAACGCTGTAAGGCTGTGTGATTGCAGTAAATAATGGAGTTTTCATACCATTTGATTGCAGTATATAATGGAATTTTATTTAGAATTTTGTCATGAATTTAAATTTTATTTGAAAAAAGTCTTTGGAATTTTCGTAAAGATATATGATTAAATAAGCGAAAAATTTGGTAATATTTTAGACATTTTTAATGCCTTCAGCATGATTCGTGTGGCACCACAAAAAAAGGAGAAAATATTTGTGGCAAAGAAAAATTTTTTTCCTAATTTTAAGATTTTATTTTCGAATGCTTTATAATGATGTGTTACTCGATTACGTAAGTAAAACTGGTTTTTTTCTTGTACTAGAAGATACTAGAAAAATGAAAGAAACATAAAATCACCGAATTAAATGGCAGTTCAAAAATAAGTAATTATTGCTAACGGGACAATAACTCATTAATAAAATAAGGAAATACAAAATTTTTCGTATACGAGAGAATGAATGAAAAAAATTTGTTGTGCCCAAAGACAAGACTGATTATAGATGTTTGTTGCCAACTCGGAAATGTTCATAGAATCGCGGATATCTTTGAAATCCAAACGTAAAATGCAAATTTGAGTAAATGAATCTATTTAGAGAAGCGAAAAACAAATTATTCGAAATAAAAATAAAAAAAGTGGGTAGCCATTAATAAAATTACAACTTACAATTTATACCATCTGACTACAAAAACTTGGATAATAAAATTTAATTTTGATTCATATATTTGCAATGCGACGACGAGAAGAAAAAAATTTTTTCACGAGAAGTATTGCAAACGATTTGATTTGGCTTGGTTTGGAACGCAGTGCAGTGCAGTGAAATGTTGCATTAGAAAAGCCATTTTAATGCACGTCGTACCACTGTCGGCATAACCGACCATTCAAATGAAATTGCCTTGTCATCGGATGATTTAACTATTGCCTGAAAAATCATCTGAATATGGAGGATTGGTTGCATTTCAAAATCTTTTTGCACAAATTAGAAAAGGAAAATTTCCATAGAAGATAATTTTTTAAAAATAAATACTTGACAAATAGATACGTGTAACATATTTAAGTCGGCAGAAAAATAAAAATAGGCCATTTTAAAATTATTTTCCACTTTTCAGTTGCCTTATTCGGATGAAACGAGGCCGTATTTAGATTTTTGAAAGACCTTTGTGTCATAAATAAGGGTAAAGAAGGAAAAAAATTCAAGCTGTGTGGTTAATAAAAATAAATTTCTATTAACTTTATATTTTCCGCTATCGGCATCAATGGCCTTACCACTTGCACCTTCGCGATTTGCATTAAGATATCGGCCTAGAAGTTCTGCAATACGATCAAAACTACCAGCGATATTAATGCAAGCTTTAGGATTCACTGGGTCACGCATCATACCAGGTGGACAAGCACAATAGAAATCACCAGGGGTGTTTATACATCCATGAGAACAGCCACCATTTTGCTGTTGGCATTCGTTAATATCTAAAATTTCATTTGCAGAAGTAAAGTCAGCCTTCATAAGATCAGAAACAAATAATTTCTTCTGTTTATGATTCATATTTCAAAAAAGTGAAATGAACTGATCCACTTTGACGCAAATGTCGATATTCATCATAGTAAAGAAAATAGAGAACCATAACACCATCCAGCATTATAGAAGTATCCAAATGAGCAACGACCGCTGTGTGGAGGTACCATACAAGGACATTCGCCTTCTTCTGCAGGTGGTAATGTTGAAATTGGTCGAAATGGATTGATAACATCGGCGCACGTAGGCTGTATTACAGCTTTACCATCGTCGCCGCACAGGCATCGACAGGGCTCTGCTGAAGGATCTACCGCCGTATATTCTGGTACTGGCGTAGTATCTGGAATAATGTGGAGTAAAAAAAAAAGAAAAAAACCGTAAAATTCACAAATTCACAAGAATTTCAAAACTATACCTTTGTTTAACTCAACAAAATCACATTTTCCAAGATCTATTTCAATTGAATCGTTGGCAGCTGTTGTTGCAGTTTGCACGCATATTGTATATCTTGTATCCGACGGCAGGTTTGCGATTGTTTTACCAAAACTATCTCTACAGCTTGCTCCAATTTTTCGCCATTTACTCTTTGACAGTGTTGGATCAGGTGTGTACAATACTGTATAATTCTAAAATGTGAAACATACTGTATATAATAATATATATATATATATATATATATAAAATAATATATAATAATATATAATGTATATAATAATAGTAGACGACCACTTATGTATAATGGTGCGAAAATTGGCAATTTAATAAAAAAATCTGCAATTTGCAAAAATTGGTTCTATAACGAAATGAATTTTTTATTAGTATTTAATATTTAATATTTCTGCCATTTATTAGTGCAAATACTAAAATATTAATTTTTTAAAATGAGGTTTCAAAATGTGGACTTTTATACAAAAAACAAAAACAAATATGATATGCATTAAATCCCAAAAATTATAAAACTGGATGAATTCACTTCTAATTTGAACTCACAGTTTTTTTATTTGTACAGCAAGTCCAAGAAACTGAAAAAGAAGTTGGATTTAGCGGCGTTACTTCTATATTCGTAGGTTCCGCATCTTTTGGTTTCGCTAAAAATGAAACAACCACAAATTGTCGAAAACCATCTTTACCTCATATGCAAAGATACCTTCAGGTCGAAAGGTGAATCTTGGCTTAATTCAAGCGCAAAAAGTAAGCAATTTTAATTTTAATTTTATTTTTAATTTTATATTCTTAAACTAAATTTTTGAGAAGTAGATGGTAGCAGACCAGCAGTTTTTTTAAAAAAGGTCGATGGTGTAATTTTCATTTTCTTTGCAGTTGAACTAGTAACATAACCACAGATAGCGTGCGCCAACCAACTGTTGAATAATTCACTTCCAACTGACCAGTCCGAAAAATGAATCACTCTGTAAGAATATGGATTTATGTTTGAAAATTCGATTCCATTTTCAAGTTGAATATAAAATTATCTTCTAGGTTTAGATGCACGGAATACGGAATGATTTGGGAATCTTAAGAGAATGATGGATTGAATAAATGATAAAAAGAAAAAATATGATTGCTTTATCAATTTCTGGGCTCATCAAGTCTCTTTATTGGTAATTTAAAGATTCGAAATGGAATTTTCTAGCTGGATAAACAAAAAAGTTAACCGTGTTGCACTTCCTTCAGCCATATTTTTCAATAATTCGCTTGCTGGTAATCTTACCGATATCGCAATAATCCGATGACCAAAATCATAACGAGCAAATTCAACGGATGGCATTACTTCATCACTAAACAAAAGATTGAAAATATAAATAAAGCGAACATTTTATATTTTAAAAAATCATAAATGTAAGAGTAAATATGTGATATAAATATGTAATATAAAAAGATCTGGATTTCAAATAATGCCTGCTAGTTCCATCCGCGCTAATAACAAGTAGGATTTTATTTACTCCACTAATCGCGTATTCTGCAGCCATTATAACAGATTCATCAATGGCAAGGCCTAATTTAGGAGATAATTCATCGCCTCTGAAAGTTTAAACAAGATTCCGAGTGAAACTAGGGAAGCGAATAAATCTTGGCAAATGACTGACATAAAGAAAATGATAGATGATGAAATCAACATAAATCAACGAGCGAAATGAAATTTGACGAAAATTTCTAAAAATTTCTATATTTGACTTGACAAATAAATCTTTTTACCTCGTCTGTTGAAGAGCTTTGAATTTATTGTCGATAGTATCAACGCCGAAATTACCTTCTTTGAAGGTTGTGCCATTGCTGTCAACTGCAATCAAATTCAACTGCATTCGACCACTTTCTACGGAAAATCTGCTTTGCAAGAAAGCAGATATATGATTAAGAACCATCTTAAAATCCTGTAAAAAAATAGGTTATTGCATTTAAAATGTTACGATGAAATGAAAATTTAAGACTAAAAAGACCAGTGACTAAATTTTTCAGTCCTTCAAAAACTTGAATTTTAAATTTTAGCTTTAGATTTAGATTTAGCATATGAAAAGTCCAACATTTTCTGGTGACCGCGAAGTTGCATCAACAATAATCGTAACTTGATAGGGACGAAGAAATCCATCTTTACACAAAGGTGTTTGATGCAAAACGACTGAACTTAAAGGTATTTCTGGAGAAATATTAGCAGTTTCACCTCTGAAACGAATATAAAATTTTTAGTACTGTCATTGGCACAACTTTATCATTATTGAAATCCTTAATAAAAAACTTTAAAAAACTTTGAATACGATAATTTAGATAGGGAAACAAATGTAAATGCGAACGAATCATAATAGTAGTGTTACTGGAGTTAAATTTATTTCACTTTAAAATCATTCTGATCCTAATAAGAATCCCTTTTTATATTCTATAATAAAATCATTTTTAGCCAAGTTTTTTTTCAGAAAATCATCATTCTACATTACGGAAAACATGAAACCTCTTAGGCCGTATTCCACAAACATTTAAAAAATAAAAAATCGAAAAAGCACCTCCTATAATCAACCTGACGCTTCGTAGTTTTATGAGATTCCGCATCAAATGGCACAATAGTTGCACCAGCGGGTTCAATAAAACCACATAATGTACGACCGATTCGAACCAGATCATTTCCATGAATGCTATTGACGCTAGGAATTTGGATTAACCGCTGATGAGCCCATTCTTCACCGACAAGGCGGTGCAACATTTTCACTGCTTCTCGTGAAGCATTTACAGCTAAAGCAAATACCTCGATTCCATGCTTATTCCTCAAATCCTCCGCAGCAATTGCTGCATTGCCTCTGAATATTATATAATTCATTTACACGACGAAACGGAATTATAGGAAATTAGAAGCCATAAGGCGATTTCTATTCCATTGCTAGGAATGCGCCCAAACTTCTATCCCTACTTCATCTCTAATGAAAAGGTTTTTATCCAAACAGTCAATGAAGCCAACCAAGTCAGAAATTATGAATGCTATTGCTGTTAGAAGATGATCTCTATTTATAAAATAACTTTGAGAAGTAAAAAGCATTATTATTAACCTGTTAATTCCATTAGTAACAAGAAGAAGTACACGAGGCACATTTTTTCTGCTATGTAACTGGAATTGTTGTTTTGCTGCATCCAACCCTTTGAGTACAATGGCGATTCCATCAAGTTTTTCACTTTTTGAAATATCAGTCAAAAGCTGAATTTTATCTTCGTAATGACCAAGCGCTATTGGTACAGAAGCTCTGTCGCTAAAATTTTAAGAACTAGAGCATCTTTATATTAATGCATTATCGGAAATCGGAAATGAGGTCATAAGCAATTGCTATGAAATTACCAACCTCAAATATTATTGAACCTAAGAACAAAAAAATATTCAGAAAATTCATTTGATTCACTCATAAATGAAGATTAATTTCTAAATTTCTTGGGCAAAAAAAATATTTATTTAATAGGATATTTATTTCCATAGAAATCTCTATGCCATTATCTATCACGCTGGGTAGTACTGGTGAGCTGTCTGTCCTTGAGCTATCTGTCCTTCCTTTTCCCTCCAAGTAATGAAAGTAATTGATAAAGCCAAACCAGAAATTGCCATTGAATAACACTAATTTATAAAAAATAGACCATCTTACTGACCTATATTCGACGAAACCAACACGAACGACGTCAGGTGCTAGATCAAATGTTTCGTCAATTAACGTGTTAATGCCTTCCTTTAATTGCGCATATTCAGCAGGAGAGAAATTTTCAGAAGAATCGAGGACGAACATAATATCAGCCTGAAATAAAAGCACACTTTTTGAGCAAGCAAATATTTTCATAATCTAAAGAGTTAGAGAACGACACGTCAGTTTACTGATGGTCATACCTTATTTTTTTCACATTTTCTTATTTTAATATTTTTTACAATAGAAAATACAACTAAGATAAAAATTTTCAATTAATTTTACGAAGAGAACGCAAAAGAATGCATTTGCCTGAATGGAGTTCCATTCCTACTCTTTATGGAAACAAAGGTCTGCTATTTTAAAATGAATTCGGGACGCTATTTATGACTTAACTATCTCCATCTGTTCCATTGCGAAGGAATTTCGCCAAGAAGAATTTCACCTAGTTTATAAAACAGACCATCTAGATACTCACCTATATTCGACGAAACCAACACGAAAAAACAAGAAGCAAAGAAACAAGATTCATTTAAATTTTTCAACTTTTTAAAGTTATTTATTTAATTTATTAATTTATTTAAAATCATTAAATTAAGTTCATTTTATTTTTAAATTTGTTAAATTTTTTCAAGTAAAGCAAACTTGATAATTAATCTTTGTACAAATTCGAGCTGGAGTAGTACGGCCACTAGCTAATGTCGTTTTTCTTACAGGCCACGTAAACTGATCATCGTCATCACTTAACTGTGGTAGAAGCTGCAAAAATTATAATTGCCACGAATAAACGAATTGGCCATTTGAATATCTCAAGATTTCATTTAATCCACCTTCTTGAGTTCCAAAACTATGAACAAGAAATTCAAATGATTTATAGTTTTAAACTCAAATACAATGAGCAGTTAGCATGTTCGATTATCCCAGACTAGAAATATACTTGGCATAATTCGTCAGCTATAGGTCCAAGCATTTCAAAATCCATGCCACGCCATTCCTCGACTTGTTTTACACGATGTGCGTTATTCTCTCCAACTATAGCGAGATTCTCGTTGGTATCTTGTTGATTACCAACATTAACCACATAAATAATTGCACCAATATCATCGCGAAGCATCCGAGCTCTTGCTACCGCCTCGTCACTGTATATATCAAAATTAAAATTTCCACCAAAATCGACTATTTTAAACAATAGAATCAGGTCGATAGCTGTTAGATCATCATAAACGGTTGTGAACGGTTACCATCCTGCTATTGATTTTTTGTTTTTCGCGAACACAGGAGCATATTTTCGTGTGACAAGAATAAAACCGTTATTAAACCGTCCAAATGGCTGTTAAGGACCCATATGTACGGCTATAGCAAATTTTCTGACTTTGGACAATTTAAAGTGGAAATGTTTGATAAATTTCAGTTTTAGAGGTATTTTTACAGAAATTTTAAAGTTCTGTAATTGCACGACTTTTTAAAATCAAGGATTTTCGAGAACTTTTTTTTTTTAAATATTCAGTCGATCAATTTATTTTACCTTGATTTTCCGTTGGAAAAGATTAGAACGACTTTAGGGATTCTATTAGTTCCCGAGATTAAGAATTCTCCTATAGCTTCTCGAAGAGCATTTCCTAAAAATGCCTTTCCTTTCATTCGTCTCGTTTCCCTTATTTTTTGCATTAAATCGGCTGCATTATCATAATCGCCTAGTGCGATGGAAACATCGGCCTTGAAAAAGGTTTCAATTAATATTATTTTAACAGGAAGGAAAAAAACATTAAAAAAATTAAAAATATTATCAGAAACCAGCAAAATATAGGGAATAGAATGGCTTAGTGGGTTATTGCTCAATTTTGCTCAATTGGGGGCGCCGATGCTGAGGTTCGATTCCCCTCAGGAGTAAATCTGGATGATTCACCTGTATTTCTATCGCCAAGGGACTCCCTGCATACTGCCCAATGCGACAAGCCAGTAGAGCGAGTTTAACCAGTAATGGTGAGGACTCTTCAAAAAAAATCAGAAACCAGCAAAAATTAAAATACTATTAATATTATTAAAATCAAAATTAAAATACTGGCTTTGGATTTCTCTGCTAACAATTATGCAAAACACTAAAGTTCATTTCATCGTCTTATATTTTTGCGGTCATCGTTTCTAGTTTGACACGTTTTATTTGCTCTTATGAGAGCCCTTCGTCTGAGGAACTTTTAGGCATATAAATCCTGATGGGCGTCAGCACCATTCGCATTTCATTTTTAATTGCAGATTTTAATGCATATTTAAGAGACAGGAATTAATACGGCTTGAAAACATCGAAACGGCATACCACTTGACATTTCTACCGTAATTATGCTTCATTTATATTTATGCGAACACATACTTTTTCTCCATATTTAATTACTCCGATCCGGACGCGGTTTCGATTTAAGTTGAAATGGTTCGTCAGGAAACTGCTAATTAGTTCTTTCATGATACGATAATCGACGACTCGAATATTATTTGATGCGTCGAATAATATTAGCAAATCAACATTGGATTTAACAGTACAATAAAGAGATTTTGCACTTGTTCTGAAAAACCAATTTCACAAATTCGTAAAAATCAGAAAAAATTAAAAAAGTGTCAAATAATTCTTTAATTCTGTTTATCAAAATATTACCTCATATCGCCATCGACAGGTTTACCATAAACGTCAGTTGGGCCCGCAGCAGTACTTTGGTAAATATAGTTACCAGATCCGTCAGTCGGAAGGACCTTGCCCTCTGATCCAATTGGTTGACCTGCAGCATTCGTTGGTACAAGTTTGCCTTGTGGATCAATAATTTGGCCGTTAGCATCTGTGAGAAGCGGCGAATCATCAGGTCCGATAATTGTGAATGAAGTAGTGTGAATTTTTTCCTTGTCTATACTAGGTATCTTCTTCAGCTCTTCCTCAGTTATCACAAAATAACCCGAAGAATCACTTGGAAAAGGAAAACCATTGGAACTAATTGGATGACCCGCAATATCTGTTGGTATCGGCCTTCCGTCACGTGTAATCACTGCTCCAGTTGAATCAGTTGGGAGAAATTTTCCCTCTGAATCCTTTATTGAGTACACTGGTTTTCCATATAAATTAGTTGGCAGAAGTTGATCATCACTAATGAGAGCTGGATAGACAAAATACCCTAATTCATTCGTAGGAAGAACCTGACCGTCAGGTCCAGTTGGTTGGCCATCTTGGTTTGTTGGCACAACTTTGCCTTGAGGATCTATAAATAAACCATTAGAGTCTGTAGGAAATATATGCCCATGCAGATCTGCTACTGGAGTGACGATATGACCTCTGTCATCGGTTGGTAAAATCTTAGGTGTACTTATAACTTGCAAAGAGATGCGACCATATGGATCCATAGGTAAGATAGATCCATCCTCTCCTATAGGTCTTCCGGAATTATCGGTAGGAATGGGCATTCCATCTAATCCAATTGCTGCACCAGCTTCATCAGTTGGAAGCAGTTCACCATCGGCATCGACCACTGGGTAAACAGGTTTGCCATGAATATCTGTTGGAAGCGGTTGACCATCAGATGCGAGTTGTGGGTATCTATAATTTCCATTTTTATCTGTTGGAAGAATATTTCCATCAGGTCCAATCGGTATTCCCATTTCATTAGTAGGCACAGGCCGATGATTTAGATCCAGAAAATGACCTTGAGTATCTGTTGGCAGTAACTCTTCATCAGGACCGATGAGTGGAATAATAATATGGCCGTTTTTATCTGTTGGCGAAATTTTTGGTTCTTTTTTTTCCAAAATAACAAAGCGTCCCTGTGAACCTATTGGCAGTGGAGAACCATCATGGCCAATTGATCGTCCGGATGAATCGGTTGCTAAAGGCAATCCATTTAGTCCCAGAATTTCAGATGAATCAGTGTGTAACAGTTGGCCATATGGACCTTCAACTGGATAAACTTGTTTGCCATATTCATCTGTGGGCACGTGGTAATCATAAGAGCTGAAAGTTGAATAAATAAGGTTGCCGGATGCATCGGTGGGAAGAACATCGCCATAAGGTCCGATTGGCTGACTTGCTGAATTTGTAGCGATTATATCTTCTCGTGGATCAATTATTTTGCCATAGGCATTTGTGGATAGTGGCAAGCCATCCATCCCAACGAGAGTGGATGGAGTATAAATTTGGCCATCAGGCCCAACGTGTGGCTCCAACTTTTGTGCTTCTTTCTTTTTATTTAATGAATGGCAAACTTTATATTTTAATCGTTCTGATTTTATTTTTAGCAATTCTGTATGATCAATGTCAATGAACATTGTATGTTGAAGATGTTGAATAATTGGTTTGGCTTCTTCGCTGAAATTTTTTTGATAATTTAAGTTGTTACAAAGCTTATATACATATTTATAAATTTTAAATTTTTATGCTTTATTTTTTTGCACTATGATTTCAATTTTTATATTTGTTATATTCATTTTGTTCCATAAAAGGATCAATCCCAAGCATCGATAAAAAAAACTTCAAACTCTTTGAACTCGTTTTATCGAAACTCGTCATACGCCGCCATCATGTTATCCATTATGATTTTACAGTTTGTGGCTCTGAGGTTAATTTATGAAATTGATTAAGAGATAAGACATAATGATGTTAAAGAGCTAAGACTAGACAAGATGATGATGTTTCTATTGGTTTGCGACAAAGTGACTTTGAGAGGTTTTCTACAAAACATGGCGGGCGTTGAAGGATAAATTTCACGACAGTCACATATTAACTAAATATTTTCTTAAATGGATTAATGGCCCGGTTATATTAACGTAACGTTCGTACTTTTATATAAATTAGCGACAAAATGAAAAGAAGGAAATTTTGACTTTTGATACATAAAAAATATGAAGAAAAATTTGTGGATAATATGATAATTTGATAAATTTAAATCCATTCTTTGGAACTTTGTAAATTAACCTTATCGGAGTTTTGTGTAAGTAAATAATTAGCTCTCCAGTTTCATCGCTGTGCTTTTCCAATAATAAATGCAGTGCTGTTCGTATTGCGTGTTCATTTCCCTCTGAAGTGCCACCTATTGGTTGGATCATTTTTAATGATTCGAGTAATTCGTCCATATTTTTGTAATTACCTATGTCGATATTAATTTCAACTGTTTCACCATAGGTTACAATACCGATTTTGGCTCGTTTCAAATCGAGATTCTCAGCGATGAATCCATGTAAAAACATTTTTATGCGATCGATCTCTGATATCATAGCATCAGTTGATTCAATAAGGAATACTATATTTGCTTTGCTGTCGATTTTATCGCATTTTGTTTCTTCTGCCTTTGTTAATATGTAATCGCCATCTGCATTCGTTGGAAGAACAGAACCACTCGGTCCTAGAGGTCTCCCAGCTTCATCTGTTGATATGGGTGCTCCAATCTGATCAACAGTTAAGCCTTCGCTCACATTTGATAATGGTAAATCTTTTGCATCAATGATCATGTAAATAGGTTTTCCATTTATATCAGTGGGTAATGGTTTACCCCACTTGTCCAACTGTGGGTGCACAAACATTTGATCGTGAGTTGGTAGAACTATTCCGTTTGGACCAATTGGCCTTCCTTGCTCATCCATGTTTATACGACGGCCTAAATTATCGACATAATATCCGCTAGCATCTGTCGACAATAGTTTCTTATCTGGCCAAACGATAGAAATTATGCGACCAGTTACATCCGTTGGCGCAATCTTTTCTGTTGCTTGTTCTGCGAATATGATATTTCCATCTTCACCAAATGGTAGAAGAGAACCATCAGGACTTATTGGCCTCCCTGCTGCATTCGTTGGAATTGGATAACCAGCATCGTCTACAGCTATTCCTAATTCATTTGTTGGCAAAAGTAGACCGTCTTTATTCGCAATAGGGTATACAGCTCTTCCATTCTCATCAGTTGGCAAAAGTCTACCGAAATTATCTATCGCAGGATAAACAAAGTTGCCTTGTTCATCTTTATGCAAGATTTTTCCATCAGGTCCGAGAGGATTACCCACTTCATCATATTCAATTTTTTCACCTAATCGATTCAGTGGTGATCCCATTGTATCAGTTGGTAGGAGTTGGCCGTCAGTATCCTTTATAGGATATGTGATATGTCCATAAGCATCTGTCAAAAATACTGATTGCGCCAAAGTGGCCGTTTTAGGCAATATTTTTATTGGTATTCTTATTACTGGCATAACGAATCGGTTAGCCCAGCACTCTTGTTCGATTTTATCAGCTACTGCTTTAGCCAATAATTCTTGCCATTTATCAACGAGCAAATAAGCATTAATTTTTTCATTAATCTCTTCTTCAAATTTTTTATTACCGATAAGTAGTAGGAAGAGATTGCTTATAGCTGAATCAAATTTATCTTCCGGATATCTGGAAAAAAATGTTAGACTTATTCTCATTTACAAAACACTTAACTTTTTTTGTCTCATTTTATTGTACTTTTGAGTTTAGACTTTTTTAGCCTCAAAGTGAAAGGAAATTAGAACGATATATTACGATTTAAACAATAATAAATAAATAATTATAAGGTCAAGCCATGTCCATTGGTAGAAGCAAACCTATCATTAAAATTGAAATCCGGGTGGTACCTTCCTTGCATTTCTAAGTCTTTCCGATGAAAAAATCTTACCACAACAGTCAGTAAAGCTATTAGCCATAATAAACCAGAAATGTTAAATTCTTCTAAAAGGGAAAGAAAAACGAAAATAGAAAAGATTATGAATAATTAAAAAATAATGATTAAAATTATAAAACCTTTTAAAATCATATTTAAAAAGAGGACAAATTGTTTAAAATAATTTTTACTATAATATAATGGCTGAAACCAACCAATACTTACATGTCATCTCCGTTGGTAATAAATATTATAAGTTTTCCCGCTGATGATCGCCCGAATGTAATGAATTGTTGTTGGGCTGCATTAAAGCCTACCCTGATTCGTGATCGCTCTTTTGTATAGTTTTTCTGCATCAAATTTAATTCGTTCAATAGCTCATTTTTGTCCTGATAACCGCCTAATGTTACTGGTACTTCAGCAGCTTCACCATATTTTATTAGTGCCATTCGAGTCATGTCGGGTGCTAGATCAAAATATTCATCAATCAGCTTTCTCACCAATCGCTTTACTACCATGAAATCATTTTCGTCCAAGGAAGCGGCATTTACCACAATAGCAATATCCATAACTCCGAATTTCGTTGAGCATTTAATAGATTTAAGATATGGATGAACCGCTCGTCCAAGTGAATCAGTGGGTAATGCTAGACCATCCGGACCGAGAGGTCGGCCTGCCCGATCAGTTGGGATTACTTTCCCTTCGACGAGAGCATTTCCATATTCATTTGTTGGCAGAAGCTCGCCATCTATGCCTAACACCTTAAATATAGGCCGCTGATTGATATCTTTAGGTCTAATTTCGCTATCAGGACTGGCAATTGGATAAATGTAATTGTTATATTCATCAGTTGGCAGAATATTCCCATCTGGTCCAAGTGGTTCTCCATTTTCATTGATTTCAATTTTTTTCCCGCCATAATATATATTTCCATTAGCATCTGCAGGCAACAAATTTCCATCTGGACCAATTATTCCCAAAACTGTTGCGATAGTTGTCATTATTCTGTAAATAAAATTGCCTTTTTCATCTGTTGGCAAAGATTTTCCAGCTGGCGACAAAGGTATACCCCTACCGTCGGTATGAAACGGTTGACCATCAGGCTGTAATGCTTCACCAAAATTGTTAGTTGGTAATCTCTCACCACTTGGACTAGTGACTATTGGTGGTTTTGATATTTCAGTAAGAATATCTGCAGGATAAATGAAATTGCCATATCTGTCAACTGGTAGAGGCGATCCATCCCGTCCTATAGGTTGACGTTGTGCATCGGTTGGCATGATTTTGCCACTTGCATCAACGAAAAGCCCATCTGAATTAGTTGACAGGGGATACCATTTATCGTAAGTGGTTTTGAATATTGTTTCTGTTGTAGAAGAAGGAATAAGAAACGGTAAAATGTACCTTCCTTGGTCGTCTGTTGGTAATATATGACCATCAGGTCCTAAAGGACGACCGAATTTATCTTTATGTAGGCGCCCGTCTTCATCTAAAATTTTCCCGCTTTCACTCGTTGGTAATAAGCGACCGGAGGAGTCTATAATCGTATAAATGATATGACCATTTAAATCTGTTGGTAAAGCAGTTGTCAAATTCATTCTTTTTTCATATACTATACGACCCAGCTTATCAGTTGGTAAAGGCGATGAATCAGGACCAACAGGCTTACCATACATATTTGTGGGCAAAGCATAGCCATCGAAATCAAGTACTAATCCATCTTTGTTTGTAGGAAAAGCATTTCCATATAGATCGACAACAGGATATATCGGCATACTATATAAATTTGTTGGATATAGCTTACCATCTTTATCGACATCAGGATAAATATAATTACCATGGAAATCTTTCTTGAGTGGTTGTTTGCCTGGACCAACAGGGTGATTATTATCATCGTATTCGATAATAATGCCATCTTTAGAGAGAAATTGCCCTTCATCATTTTTAATTAATGGTATGCCGTCACTATCGACGATTGGAATAATGATGTGACCATATTGATCTGTAGGAGGTGCAAATGTGGTTTTTTCCGTTTCAAGCATCACTATATGACCAGCTTCATCAATAGGCAAAGGTGAAGAATCTGGACCAATAGGTTTTCCAGCTATATTAGTAGGAATTGGTTTTCCGTCAATACCAATTCTATTACCCTGTTCATCAGTGGGAAGAATTTTACCGTGAGCATCAAAGACAGGATAGATTGGTTTACCATTTCCATCAGTAGGGAGGAGCAGTCCATCCGGTCCACGAAATGGGTAAATAATATTGCCAAAAACATCTGTAGGCATTGCTACACCATTTTCATCTAATGGCCAACCGCTAGTATCTGTTGGGATAAGATTGCCATCAGGACCAAAAGATAAACCATCGGAAGATGTTGGCAAGATAAAGCCATCTGGCCCAATAATGGGTCGTATAGCTCGGCCGTACGCATCAGTGGGAAAATTTTCACCATACGAGCCACCACCATGGCGAATAAAATTCCTTGACTTGTCGGTGGAAAAAAATATGCCTTTTTCATCAACAGGAATGCCAGCAATATTTGTTGGTATCGGTCTACCGTCAGGGCCAACCACATATCCGTAAGAATTTGTTGGCAATCGTTTACCATTAGATCCAACAACCGGATAAACTGGTTTTCCACTTTTGTCAGTAGGAAGCGGTTCAGCATCGAGTCCTTTTGCAGGATAAATAATATTTCCACTAGCATCACTTGGAAAAGGTCTACCTTTGTTATCCACAGGGAATCCAGCAATATTTGTTGGTATTGGCTCACCATCTGGCCCAAGTACAAGTCCTTCTTGCCCTGTGGGTAGTTCTTGCCCATCAGGTCCAAGAATTGGATGCACTGGTTTTCCATTTTTGTCAGTAGGAAGCGGTTCAGCGTCGAGTCCTTTTGCAGGATAAATAATATTTCCTCTAGCATCACTTGGAAAAGGTCTACCTTTGTTATCCACAGGGAATCCAGCAATATTTGTTGGTATTGGCTCACCATCTGGCCCAAGCACGAGTCCTTCTCGCCCTGTGGGTAGTTCTTGCCCATCAGGTCCAAGAATTGGATGAACTGGTTTTCCACTTTTGTCAGTAGGAAGCGGTTCAGCATCGAGTCCTTTTGCAGGATAAATAATATTTCCACTAGTATCACTTGGAAAAGGTCTACCTTTGTTATCCACAGGGAATCCAGCAATATTTGTTGGTATTGGCTCACCATCTGGCCCAAGCACGAGTCCTTCTTTCCCTGTAGGTAGTTCTTGCCCATCAGGTCCAAGAATTGGATGCACTGGTTTTCCACTTTTGTCAGTAGGAAGCGGTTCAGCGTCGAGTCCTTTTGCAGGATAAATAATATTTCCACTAGCATCACTTGGAAAAGGTCTACCTTTGTTATCCACAGGGAATCCAGCAATATTTGTTGGTATTGGCTCACCATCTGGCCCAAGCACGAGTCCTTCTTTCCCTGTAGGTAGTTCTTGCCCATCAGGTCCAAGAATTGGATGCACTGGTTTTCCACTTTTGTCAGTAGGAAGCGGTTCAGCGTCGAGTCCTTTTGCAGGATAAATAATATTTCCACTAGCATCACTTGGAAAAGGTCTACCTTTGTTATCCACAGGGAATCCAGCAATATTTGTTGGTATTGGCTCACCATCTGGCC